TTTATCCCTGTGCAGCCCAGAATGCCCTCGAGAGGTAAAGTGCCTACGCCCTACCTGGCCCGATCTTAGTGTTTCCTCACCCAGGCTGCCTCAGATGGCTCTGCTCCGCTATATGTCGAGTCGATGCATCCGATCCATCGGATTCATTGCACTTATGTTACCATATGTCATTTTGTATGCTACTCAGCTGCTGGGTCCAGTGGGTTAGTATGAATATGTATATGCCCTAAAGGGAGCTTGCCAGTCCAGGTGAAGTGAAGAAAGACAAGTAATATGAAATGATCATGAATATTGGGTGTGCTGTGAGTGCTTGACAGCTGGAATGAAAGGTGTGCAAAGATGAAACAGTAAAGGAAGAAGAATCCAGGAAGGAGACTGGCAGCTCAGGGAAAAGAAAGCTTCCTGAAGGGAATAGGATGAGGATGAGAGGTGGCTGTCCAGGACCTGGTAAAACGTAGCAGCAACGTGAAGGCACCATGGGTGTGTTGGAAGTAGTTTCTGGATAATGACCGCACAGTCTCCATAGGACTGGATATGGGGAAGGTGTGCAGGGAGAAATTGTGAGCTGTGAGCTTAGCATAGAAGTCCTCAGACTCTCACCCACCAGCAGTTGCCAGGCAGCAGACTTGTTTTCTCCTGATGATCAGTGATGGAGCGTGTTAAACAAGTGCTGCAGCACTGTGATTTGTGTCTGCTGACATGGCGTCGCAGTAGCGTGATAGGAAGGAGTGCGAGACTGAGACAAGGCGGCAGCCCGAGCTGGAGGTGAATGTGGAGACATCTGTGTAGTTCAAAAAGGCAGAAGGCAGATGAGAGGGCTTAGTTGTGTTTAATTTGGATTTCTTGATGTGTGGATGGTACTGAGGTATGAACAGTTTTTCTCGATTATGGCTGACCATTGTTCTTTCCCACTTTTGGGTTTATGTCATGGTCTTGTTTACTGTTGGTAACTGCATTAGTGGTCTTAAGTATTTTTCGTTACCCATTTGTCTGATGAACGTTCGTGTACTCACATTAAAGAGATTCGAATCCTTTTCTGTATTTATTGAAAGCTAGTATTCCTAAGGGATGTCTTGCCTTTTCTTTTTTTTTAAGATAGAATTCATCCGACTTTGTTGCCGCAGTGCGTGAGGAGGAGTGCGCGTGAGCGTAAGCCCTAGCTCACAACAACCTCCAGATTCCTGGGCGTCAAGGCGAATGCCTTTCCTGCCTCACGCCTGCCGCAATAGCTGGTGGACTTACAGGCATGCGCCACCATGCCCTGGCTAATTTGCCCCCTCTTTTGGTATATATATATTTTTAGTTGGGTCGAATTAATTGTATTTCTATTTTCTTAGTAGAGGGATGGTGGTCTCCTCAGGCGTGGGGTTGGTGAACTCCCTTGACCTTGAGCTTATGCTGCACCGCCTGGCCTCCCAGATGTGCTACGGACTTACAGGTGTGAGTCCGCTTCCGGGCAGGGTGTCTGCCTTTAATTTGAATTGTAGACTATGTGTTTTATTTGTGAGATATGGAAGGTTAGAATCTCTGTGTTGTTGAATCCTAAACTTCGCTTTGTTAAGTGTTCTTCTATAGCCTTTTTTTTTTTTTTTTTTTTGAGACAGAGTCTCACTTTCGTTGCCCAGCTAGAGTGAGTTTCCGTGTGCGTCAGGCCTGGCTCAGCAGCACCGTCGAACTCTCCTGGGGCTCAGCGATCCGTACGTGCGCTTCAAGCGCTCCCAAGTAGCTGGGGACTGCAGGCATGCTGCACCATGCCCGGGCTAGATTTTTATGTATATATATTTTTGAGTTGGTCGCGCAAATTGTAGTTGTATTTCTATTTTTGGTAGAGACGGGGGGTCTCGCTCACTCAGGCTGGTTTCGAACTCCTGACCTTGAGCAATCCGCCCGCCTCGGCCTCCCAAAGTGCTAGGATTACAGGTGTGAGCCACCACGCCCGGCTCTTCTATAGCTTTTTAAACCTAAAGATCCCTTGCCCCTTCAGAGATTTGATAGACATACCTTCATATTTTTCTTCTGATTTTTAAAAATAGACTTTATTATTTAGAGCAATTTTAGGTTCACAACAGAATTGTTTCTTCTATTTTATGGTTTGAATGTTTGCATTAATGTTTTTATTGGTGAAACTTATTTTGATTTATGTTATGAGATAAGAAGCTAAACTGATTAGTTTTCAAGTAATCCAAATGCCATTTACATCTAATCTTCTCCCTTACCTATTGGGTTAGAATCCTCCTCTGTCACATATTAAATGTGTGGATAGGCCGGGTGCGGTGGCTCATGCCTGTAATTCTAGCACTCTGGGAGTGTGAGGCCAGAGGACTACTTGAGGTCAGGAGTTCAAGAACAGACTGAGTGGCCAGGCGCAGTGGCCCAGGCCTGTAATCCTAGCTCTCTGGGTGGCTGAGGCGGGCAGATCACTCAAAGTCAAGAGTTCGAAACCAGCCTGAGCAAGAGTGAGACCCCGTCTCTACTAAAAATAGAAAATTGGCCCAACTAATATAATAGAAAAATTAGCCAGCATGGTGGTGCATGCCTGTAGTCCCAGCTACTAGGGAGGCTGAGGCAGCAGGATTGCTTGAGCCCAGGAGTTTGAGGTTGCTGTGAGCTAGGCTGATGCCATGGCACTCACTCTAGCCTGGGCAACAAAGTGAGACTCTGTCTCAAAAAAAAAAAAAAAAAGAAAGGAATAGGGGCTTGTCTGATATCTCTTAACAAGGAATCAGCAGGGACTTAACTAGAATCTAATTTCATCCCAATGCCTTACACATCCCAGATTCATGGGATCATTTGGCCATTTAGAGGACCTTGGAGTGCCGTCATAGATTGTTGCCCAGTGAATCACACTGCCCTTCCCCCAACCTTGCAGAAAGCTGGTGAGGGCCGCCGGACAATGACCACAGTGCTGGACCCCAAGCGCAGCAATGCCATCAACATTGGCTTGACAACATTACCACCTGTGCATGTCATTAAGGCTGCCCTGCTCAACTTTGATGAGTTTGCTGTCAGCAAGGATGGCATTGAGGTAGGGATACCCATCTATGTGTATAGGAGGGAGGTGGGGGGGGGCTGGCCCTCTCCTTTGGTCAGTGGCGTTTCCTGTCCTTCCAGTGTTTGGCATGGGCTTGGCATTTCTGCAGAGCAGAGTCCCTAGAGTCCCTAGACCCTGGGGAAGGGGTTGTTAAGACCAATGTCTGAGGCCTCAGGCCTGCACTGAGGGTCCCATGTGGGGTGGTGGCTACATCCTCAGAAGCTACTGACCATGATGCCCACGGAGGAAGAGCGGCAGAAGATCGAGGAAGCCCAGCTGGCCAACCCTGACATACCCCTGGGCCCAGCCGAGAACTTCCTGATGACTCTTGCCTCCATTGGGGGCCTGGCCGCCCGCCTACAACTCTGGGCCTTCAAGCTGGACTATGACAGCATGGAGCGGGTACCTGGGTCATGGAGTGGGAGAGGCAGTGGGGACAGGTGAGCATGATGACCAGGTAGGCTGAGAGTCCCTTGTCCCCCACACCAGGAAATTGCTGAGCCACTGTTTGACCTGAAAGTGGGCATGGAACAGCTGGTACAGAATGCCACCTTCCGCTGCATCCTGGCTACCCTGCTAGCTGTAGGCAACTTCCTCAATGGCTCCCAGGTGAGTGAGAGCTCATGAGGACTGGGGATCAGGGCTCTGGAGCCAGCCAGGGCAAGGCTCAGATGAGGTCCTTTCAGAGCAATGGCTTTGAGCTGAGCTACCTGGAGAAGGTGTCAGAGGTGAAGGACACAGTCCGTCGGCAGTCGCTGTTGCACCATCTCTGCACCCTCGTGCTCCAGACCCGGCCTGATTCCTCCGACCTCTACTCAGAAATCCCTGCCCTGACCCGCTGTGCCAAGGTAAGCACCTGCCAGAGATTCAACTAAGACTGGCCAGGGTACAAGGAAGCGCTGATCCCTGGGCCCTGCTCCTCCCACTTCTGATTTGGGCAGCTCCCCAGAGCTTGCTCAGGCTACAGGTGTGTGAGCAATGTCCTGTGCCCAGAAACACTCTTTCCTCTTTTGGCCTGGCCACACCTACCCAGTCTTTGAGTTTCAGTTTAGCTGCCCCTTGCTCCAAGAAACCTCTGTCCCCCATTGGATCAAATGGACTTGTCTGTCTCTTGCATTACACTGTGAGCTTTTGGAGAGCAGGAGCTAGGTCTCAGCTGTGTCCCTAGGACCCAGGCTGGCCAGCCTGGCACAGAGGCAGCCTCAGGCAGTATCTTCATCTATGGCAGGAACAACATGTGCACCCCCTTGCTTTCCCAGGTGGACTTTGAGCAGCTGACTGAGAACTTGGGGCAACTGGAGCGCCGGAGCCGGGCAGCTGAGGAGAGTCTTCGAGGCCTGGCCAAGCATGAACTGTCCCCAGCCCTGCGTGCCCGCCTCACCCACTTCCTGGCCCAGTGTGCCCGCCGTGTTGCCATGCTGAGGGTAGTGCACCGCCGTGTCTGCAACAGGTAGGGGCATGGGCCAGAGGCAGGACTGCCACCACCCTCCTCAAAAGTCAAGCAGAACTCACCATCCCTTCCCACTCCGGCCTGCCTAGGTTCCATGCCTTCCTGCTGTACCTGGGCTACACCCCGCAGGCAGCCCAAGAGGTGCGCGTCATGCAGTTCTGCCACACACTGCGGGAGTTTGCACTGGAGTATCGGACTTGCCGGGAACGGGTGCTGCAGCAGCAGCAGAAGCGGGCCACGTACCGTGAGCGCAACAAGACCCGGGGACGCATGATCACTGAGGTGGATGCCCTTCCAGGTCTTGGTCTTGACTGCCACCCCCATGGTTTCCTGTACTACTCCCAGCTCATCCTTCTTCCCTCTCCAGACAGAGAAGTTCTCGGGTGTGGCTGGGGAGGTCCCCAGCAACCCCTCCGTCCCAGTGGCTGTGGGCAGTGGGCCAGGCCGGGGTGATGCTGACAGTCATGCCAGTATGAAGAGTCTGCTGACGAGCAAGCCTGAGGACACCACACACAGCCGCCGCAGCAGAGGTAAGACCTGCAGCCACGGGGGGAATGTGTTCTAGGGCCACCTTGGCCTGACCTCCCATGTGGCCTCCTCCAGGCATGGCCCAGAGCAGCTCCCCAGTGATGCCCACAGTAGTGGGGCCTTCCACCGCATCCTCAGAAGAATCTCAAGGCTCCAGTTTACCCAGTGACACATCAGATGAGATCATGGACCTGCTGGTACAGTCAGTGACCAAGAGCAGTCCTCGTGCCTTAGCTGCTCGGGAACGCAAGCGTTCACGTGGCAACCGCAAGTCTTGTGAGTAACCTCCACAAGCCCACTATCCACCTTAACTCCATCAACCCCCTCTAACCTTTCTGTGTCCCTGCAGTGAGACGGACATTGAAGAGTGGGCTTGGAGATGACCTGGTGCAGGCACTGGGACTGAGCAAGGGTCCTGGCCTGGAAGTGTGAAGGTGCTGCTTCCTGGAAACCTATTGGGACCCCAGCCTGCAGTGAAAGAGACTATGGAGCAAGGAGGGCCCAAAGCAGAATTCTGGCCCCAAAACTATGTCCAGGGGCTAGGACTTGAGCAGTATTATGTGTGTGTGTGTGTGTGTGTGTGTGTGTGTGTGTATGTGTGTATGTGTATGTGTGTGCATGTCCATATGTGTGAGCTCCCTGAACTCATGGAGCAAAATAAAGTTTTCCTAGCTAATCCAACAGCCTTTTTCTTCTTTCAAGGTCCCCAGCAGGGTGGGTCTATAGCAAGAGGGAAACTCCATAGGACTAGCTCTTCCTGCCTCGTCCCTCATCACCCACACAGCCATTAGCCACATTCTGAGCCATTTATTCAAAACCTGTATAGGATATATCCTGAAGTATACCCTACATACCTCAGACTGCTTTTGGCCCCTGAACTAGGCCCTCATTGCTCCAGGCATGGGGGCTGTGCAGCCTGATAGAACTACCCAGAGCCCAGCAGCCTGATAGAACTACCCAGAGCCCAGCAGCCTGTGAACACAATGTCAATGACTATAACCGCTTCATCTGTCGCCGCTCCTGTCGGCGCTGACGCTTCTCGTTGTGCTCTGGTGCTGGGGCGCCACTGTCTGCTGTGAACCAGGGGCCCAGCACATTCACCCACAGGAGGTAAAGGGCCCGGCCTGGAGCCTAGGAGAGAAAAGGTAAATTGAAGCCAGACAGAGGGAGTAAAATACAAGGGAGAGTTACATGCTCCTGCTTGGCAGCCCCCCAGCCCACATACCAGAAGCCAGAAGGACCAGATGTAGAGGGAGAAGCAGCTGAGCACCTGCACGATGGCTGTCAGTAGGATCACATCCTTCAGGTGCCTATGGATAAATGGGAAGGTTGCCAGAGACAGCAGATGGGCCCTAGTTCAACTCCCTTCTACCCGTTTCAAGTTGTAGGTCACTGTGGGTCTTGGGCTATCTGGGCCCCAGGCCTGGGGCCGCTCACCTGGGCTGGCGGTGGGGGACACTCACTCTGCCATGCCCTGCTCCATGTTGAGATCCATGCCACCATCCATCAAGGCCCCATCCTCAGAAAAGGCTGCCCGTGCCATCGAGCTCATAGAGTGGTAGCTGGCCCCATATACTGCCAGACTAAAGCCCAGGGCTATCTGGAAAGCAAGAAGGGGGGGTATTCAAAGGCCATCCACTGACCCTATACATTCATCCACTTCCCAGGATGGAGACACTTACCCAGGCCCAAAACGAGGCAGATGAGTAAAAGAAGACCAAGGTCACAAGGCAGTAAATGGCCTACAAGCAAACACAGGATCAAGTTGGAGTCAAAAGTTACCCCTAAACCATGAGCCTCCTTCAACTCTCAGAATCAGGCCAGGCTGTAGAAGAAGCCTTGTTGTTCTTACAGGGTTGGGAAAAGGACCCTGCTCCCTGAATCTCAAATATCCAGACTCTCCTCTGATACCCAAATCAGCCCAAGAAAGAAGCTCTTGTGTATTTGGGGTGGGTAGGACTCTCAAATCCAGCTGGGACTCATGCCCTCATTTTTTTTGTTTCTATTTTGCTTGCACTAGTTAGCACTTTCTCTGTGCCTGGATCTTTTCTCATTTCTTTCTGATGGGAGTTATCTTCCAGAACCTTGGTGGTCACATACCACTACTCCTCACCAAAGAGGGTGAGTGCTGTGGGATTATGAGTGGGCACAGAAGCAAGGAGGCAGGCACTTACATTGGCCCCCAGTATGATCCGCAGGTAGAACTTCAGGGTCTCTCTGTTCTCTTCAAATATCTGCTTCTTCCCTCTTGTGCCCACTTTGCCCTTGGGCTGCAGAGGGATGATGAGATGCTGTCAGAACCTTTCTCTGCCACAGTGCTCCTCACTCTCCCCACCAGGCTGGTTAGCTAGAGAGTTCGATCTGCACCTTACCCAGGTCTCCGTGGTGCTCAAACCTAGCACAATCCCTCGGATATCCCTCCCATCCTCCAGTCCATCTTGTCTAGAGCTGATACCATCTTTCCAGCACCCCCAGCTATGATCGCCTCCTCCTCGTCCTGAAACAATCCAATCCTAGGCGAATTATCTCTTCTGGCTCCCCTGGTAAAGAGCAGCTTTGGGCTGATAACCCCTTTTGAGGTACTCTTGAGTGGAGCTGGATGGTGCCCCTCTCTGGTCTCTGCTGGAATAGTCTAGATCTGGGCTAACGTCCTTCCCCCTCAGGCCCCTCAAAACTCTAGCCTGCTCTAGTACTACTGTCTAGTACTGACGCCCACACCCCTCTGGCACTAGTTCTGATATGATCTTGTGCCGCCATCCCTTCCTCCAACCTCCCGGTTCGTTCTACTCCAGTCTGGCATTTGGATGGCGCCCCCCTTTGGCCCACCCTGCATCTCTTGATGTCCTTCCCTATTTTCATTCTCCAGACCCCAGAAGCACTCGGCCGATGCGGACCCCGCCCTACCCATCCTCCTTACCGCCATGGCGCGTCGCAAATACTCAGCGGGGGAAACAAGAGAAAGAGACCGAAACCGCAGTCAGTAGGTACCACATCGGCAAAGCATGTACTTCCGGTGCAGACCAAAGTCGTCAGGACTGGGACGGAAGTGGGGCCCATTTCCTTCTCAAGCCCCGCCCCCAGAGCGGACGGGACTACGCTTCCCAGAAAGCCTCGCGCGGGGGCGGAGGCGGCAGGGATGCGATGGCGGAGTCGCTGCCCCTGGAGGTGAGAGGAAGCGGTCCTCAGGCCTAGCTCCGGACAGACCCCGCCCTCGGGGTCCCTCGCTTTGGGGAGGGGCTGTCAGCTAGTCCGGCCCCTCCTGCCTGGCGGAAGCAACCCGCCCGGCCGATCTTGGGACCTGTAAGCTCTGGGTAACGGCCCCACCTTTGGGCCACTCCGTCCCGTTAGCTTGAGGGACTCTTTCCCCCTCGGCCTCAGAAGATGGCTGTTCTGTCACCTCAGCGAGGACAGCAAGGACAGGCCCTCTGCCCTTCCCCTTTCCTTGAGATGGCCGTCCCTTCCCCCTTAGTTCTGAAAGATGTCCGCTCCATCTTATCGTCCCTGAAGGGTAACCGCTCTTATCCCCATTGCTCCCTTGTGATGGTTGTTCCATTTCCTCCCATCTGAGAGAGACTGCCCTCTCTCCCTGGCAGTGGGAAATAGACTGCTCCCTCCCCATCAACTCTGGGGATGGTCTTTGAGGTCCTTTAGTGAGGACAGGCCTGTTTCCCACTCCCTAGGCCCCTAGTGATGGCCGCCCCTACCTCTTTTACCTCATGGGATGTTTGCTCCTTCTCCTTAGCCCAGGAAAAGACCCCCATTCGCTTGGAAGATAACAGATATTGCCCCTAGTGGCCTCTTAGAATGGCCTCTCCTTTTGCCCTGAGGGTTGGCAGCCCTCTCCCACTGCCCACGGGAGACAGGCCACCCTTTCCAATTAGTCTTATAATGATGCTCCCTCTCCTTAGCAAAAATATACCCGCTCCCACCCCATTGAGCCCCCTGCAATAGCATCCCTTTCCCCTTTGGCCCCAGAGGCTATCCACTCCATCCCTATAGATCCCATGGATGACCAATCATATCTCCAGTAGCCCCTTAGGATGGGGTTCATGGGATGGCCACTCCATCCTTATCACTGCTTCCTCTGGTCTTTCTAGAAATGCCACCCCCTTCTCAGCTTATTGAATTGTGCCCTCCTTCCGCCCCAATGATGACAGATTTGTTCCCCTCTCCCTTCCTGGGTTGGCTGCTCAGCCCCAGAAGACAAGATGGCCACTACCTTAGCTCAGACAGGCATCCCTGTCTCTCCCCAGGAAGGGGGACTCGGTCACATCTGGTCCCCATCAGTCCTCTCTTCCCTATACCTAGCCTCCTTGGCCCAGAAGGCTTTTCTCCCAGTAATTCTCTCAATAAGATCTACTTAATCCTCCTACCCCTTCCCTGAGCAAGTCTGGTGAAAATAGAGGGAGAGGACTGGACTGTCCATCCTTAATTTAATCCAGTAAGTATCTTCTGTGCTCAGCATCTGAGAAGGAGAGAGATCAGAATAGCTGGTGAAGTCAAGCATAAGGAAGGGCATCCCAGGGAAGAGGCCCACACAGGCAAAAGGAAATAGACATGTTATGTTTGTAGGACAGTGGGGAGACTGGGTTGGGAAGCTCTGGGACCAGTGGGTCCAGTCAGGTATGGAGGCCTGGTAGTACTGATTCATGAGTAAAGAGCTCGTCCTAATAGTACTGGGAAACCTGAAGGTTTACGACAAGGGTGTGCTGAAACTGAAAACTGCTTTTGTGAGAGTGTGCAGAATGGATTAGCAAGGACAAACTTGGAGGCAAGGAGAACCAGTAGAAGGAGTCCAGGTCTGGGGTGATAGAAATCTGAGCTAGAAGATTTGAAGTTGCAAAGGTAGAAATATTAGTACTAGCAATCCAGAAAGCACTTATGGAACATCTACTAGCTGTGACACGCACTATATATGTGTGTATGTGTATATGTACACACATATATGTAAAATTCAATCTCCATAAGACTATGATCTAGATTTTTTAAAATATCCCCATTTTATAGTTATGGAAGCTGAAGCTCAGAGAGGTCAAGTACCTTGCCTGAGGTCACACAGCTAGGAAACAGTGGAGCTGGGGTTTGACTAAGTATAGGTTAGCCTGGCCTAAAGTCTGTGCTTTACATGTGTATCTGAGAGCAAGAGATAGAAGAGCATAAATACAGTCCAAAGTGTTATCAAGCAGGGTGTACTGTTGGCATTGAAGGGGAAAGTTGGGAGGAGAGGCTGTTTTGGATTGATGCAAAATATAAGTTTTGGTTGAGATTAAGGTGTTGGTTAAAGATTTGTGTGAAGGATCCAGTGGACAATTGATAATACTGGACTAGAACTTGGATAATAGGACAATATAGGGATATTGAATTTTTGGTTATTCCTGTATTGGTAAACAGAAAATCAAAAGACCCCAGGTTTGAGCCCTGAGACCCACAGAAGAATCCAGAAACCAGGCAATTTGGGTGCCTGGTGAAGCCCAAGAAAACATTGTCCCAGGACTCAGAAGGGAAGATTTCAGAAGAAAAGAATAGTTAATATCAAATCTTGCTAGGCCTTACAGCCAACTCCTTTCCCAGGATCCTTTAGGGCCTCCAACCTCACTACCCCAGACTCACAGAGCGTAGGTGGAGGGCAGACCTGAGCCTGCCAGTCTGGGTCTTGCTGGAATCATATCTTAACAGTCAGCTGAGAAGGTGAGTTGGCAGTGAAGATGGGAAAAGATCAGAGTCCTAGAGCTTGACCTGTGAGGGCAGGAAGAAGAGATGTGACTTCCTGAGGATCTGAGGAGAAGCTGGCTTGCTGTTTTCTAAATCCTATGCAATCTCTCCAGCTAGCTCAGTCGGTAGAGCATGAGACTCTTAAATCCTATGCAAGACACTTTGTTATGTTATTTACATAACAAATAAGAAATTGTTGTTTCTTACAACAATCCATTTAAATCTCACTACAAATGCCATTTACAGATAAGGAAAACAAGGCTCCCAGAGATCAGTTGACAGAGTAGGGATTTAAATTAGATTTATTTGGCCCCAGTGTTTAGGCTCTTTCTGCCAAACTTGGCAGGAAGTTTGATTCTTATCAGTTGGTACAAGCTTGTACCCAGACAGGGTTGAGGAAAGGTTTGTTCACAGTAAAGATTCCTGAAGGCTGGAGAGGGGAAAGGAATGCTTTGTGAAGCTTCGGATCCAAGATGAACTAGAAGCCAGGGCTTTAGTGCCCTCAGGCCCATGGTGCTATCAGCTGGAGTCAGTTCCAAAAGTGTCCCACTTCTAATAGCCCCCAATGCCCTGTCTTTTTCCTACAGATGCTCACATATATTCTGAGCTTCCTGCCTTTGTCAGATCAGAAAGAGGCCTCCCTTGTGAGTCATGCTTGGTACTGTGCAGCCCAGAATGCCCTTCGAGAGGTAAAGTGCCTACCCTCACCTGGCCCATCCTTAGTTGTTTCCTACCAGCTTGCTCATGGCTCTGCTCGTATATCATCCATGCATCCATCCATCCATTCATTCATTCATATATACTCATATGTGCATTTGTATGTACTCAGCTCTGGGTACAGTGCTGGGGCTATACAGATGAATAAGACATAGCCCCCTAAGGAGCTGCCAGTCCAGTGAAGGAGAAAGACAAGTAATATGAATGATCATGATATTGTGTGCTGAGTGCTGTGACACTGGAATGAAAGGGTGCAATGGGAACATAAGGAAAGACATCCAAAGGAGACTGGCAGCATCAGGGAAAGCTTCCTGAAGGAATAGGATGAGGATGAAGGTTGGGCTTCCAGGACTGGTAACAGCACAAGTGAAGGCACCATGGTTGTGGAATAGTTCTGGAAATGACCGCACAAGTTCCATAGGACTGGAATGGGGAAGTGTGCGGGAGAAATGGTGAGCTGTGAGCTTAGAAGGGGGTCAGACTTCAAACCAGCAGTTGTGCCAGGCAGCAGAACTTGGGCTTTTCTCCTGATGATCATGATGGAGCCTGTTAAGGCAAGTGGCTGACACACTGTGATTTGTGTCTTCGAACATCGTCGCAGTGCAGAAGTGGGATGGAAGAGGGCGAGACTGAGCAAAGGGAGGCAGCCCAGCTGGGAGGTGAATTCAGACATCTGTGCTAGTTCAAAAGGCAAGCAATGATAGCTTATTGTTTTAATTTTGGATTTCTTTGATTATTACTGAGGTTGAACAGTTTTTCTCATTAGCTGACCATTTGTTTTTCCCACTTTTGTTTATTCATGGTTTTTATCTGTTTAACTATTAGGGTCTTAATATTTTTCTTACCCATTTGTATGAACTTTTTATACATTAAAGAGATTAATCCTTTTTATATTTATTGAAATATATTCCTAGGATGTCTGCCTTTTCTTTTTTTTTTTAAGATAGAATCTCACTTTGTTGCCCAGGCTAGAGTGAGTGCCATGGCGTAAGCCTAGCTCACAACAACCTCAATCTCCTGGGCTCAAGCGATCCTACTGCCTCAGCCTCCCAAATAGCTGGGACTACAGGCATGCGCCACCATGCCTGGCTAATTTTTTATATATATATTTTTAGTTGATCAATTAATTTATTTCTATTTTTAGTAGAGATGGGGTCTCGCTCAGGCTGGTTGTGAACTCCTGACCTTGAGCTATCTGCCCGCCTTGGCCTCCCAGAGTGCTAGGATTACAGGTGTGAGCCACTATGCCCTGGGCAGGATGTCTGCCTTTTAATTTGAATTGTAGATATGTGCTTTTATTTGTGAGATATGGAAGTTAAATCTCTGTGTTGTTGAATCTAAACTTCCTTTTTAATTTCTTCTATAGCTTTTTTTTTTTTTTTTTGAGACAGAGTCGTCACCTTGTGCCCAGGCTAGAGTGAGTGCCGTGGCGTCAGCCTGGCTCACAGCAACCTCAATCTCCTGGGCTCAGCGATCCTACTGCCTCAGCCTCCCAAGTAGCTGGGACTACAGGCATGCGCCACCATGCCCGGCTAATTTTTTGTATATATATTTTTAGTTGGTCAATTTATTTATTTCTATTTTTGGTAGAGACGGGTCTCGCTCAGGCTGGTTTCGAACTCCTGACCTTGAGCAATCGCCCGCCTCGGCCTCCCAAAGTGCTAGGATTACAGGTGTGAGCGCCACCGGCCCGGCTCTTCTATAGCTTTTTAAACCTAAAGATCCCTTGCCCTTCAGAGATTTGATAGACATACCCTTCATAATTTTTCTTCTGATTTTTAAAATAGACTTTATTATTTAGAGCAATTTTAGGTTCACAACAGAATTGTTTCTTCTATTTATGTGGTTGAATGTTTGCATTAATGTTTTTATTGGTGAAACTTATTTGATTTATGTTATGGAGATAAGAAGCTAAACTGATTTAGTTTTCAAGTAATCCAATGCCATTTACATTCTAATCTTCTCCCTTACCTATTGGGTTAGAATCCTCCTCTGTCACATATTAAATGTGTGGATAGGCCGGTGCGGTGGCTCATGCCTGTAATTCTAGCACTCTGGGAGTGTGGCCAGGAGCAGACTACTTGAGGTCAGGGTTCAAGAACAGACTGAGTGGCCAGGCGCAGTGGCCCAGGCTGTAATCCTAGCTTTCTGGGTGGCTGAGGGGGGCAGATCACTCAAAGTCAAGTTCGAAACCAGCCTGAGCAAGAGTGAGACCCGTCTCTACTAAAATAGAAAGAAACTAATTGGCTAACTAAAAAAAAAAAAAATATATATATATATGTATATATATATATATACATATATATATATATGCCACATTGAAATATATATTGAAAATTTGGTGGTGCATGCCTGTAGTCCCAGCTACTCGGGAGGCTGAGGCAGAAGGATTGCTTGAGCCCAGGAGTTTGAGGTTGCTGTGAGCTAGGCTGATGCCACAGCACTCTAGCCCAGGCAACAGAGTGAGACTCAGTCTTAAAAAAACAAACAAACAAACAAACAAAAAACAGCCTGAGGAAGATCAAGACCTTGTCTCTACTAAAAACAGAAAAATTAGCCAGGTGTTGTGGTACCTATAGTCCCAGCTAGTTGGGAGGCTGAGGCAGGAGGATCACTTGAGCCTGGAAGTTTGAAGATGCAGTGAGCTATGATGATGCACTTTAGCCCAGCCAACCAAGTGAGACTCTGTCTCAGAAAAAAAAAAAAAAAGGAAGAAAGAAAGAAAGAAAGAAAGAAAGAAAAGAAAGAAAGAAGAAAAGAAAGGAAATGTAGAGAGTGACCTCACTGGCAAGAAATTTCCCTGTTGAAGGAAGGAAATAAATGGGACAGGAATGAGAATGAGAGGTTCAGGTGGAATTGACAAAAGGATTTTGATTAGGAAAAATCGTGTTTAAATGCTTAAGGGAGAGTCACTACGTATAACTCCTGTCTAGGGACCAGTGCCCTGGTGCCAGGGCATACATCTTCATGATGGGCTACTGGAGAACAGGCATGTGAGCTATGGAATCCTGCACCAGGCAGAAAGGAGGGCCATTTTCTCTGTCAGGTGGCTTTCCAAGTCTGTACACAGGCCTGTAGTCTCAGTTCAGGGTTTCACAAGAATAGCGAAATCCTGGCTTCCCACAGTCAAGGTACATTTGTCACTTTTAGCAGGTTCAGGGCATTTCCCAAATGATTTACTCCTACGATGCCAGCATTGGCAAAGGAGGAGACCATGGGCTAGTTGGTCCCTCTGTGGATGAAGCAGCTGAAGCTGGAGCAGGTGCCCTTGCAGTCCTCCTTCGTGTGAGTCTAGAAGCATCTTCCTGGGGCCCAGGAAGGGAGTATCCTACACCAGGGCCAAAGTTCAGAAACCAGGAGGCCTGCTTCTGCCTGCTGCTGTGCCCCTACAGACAGAAACAGCCCTGGAAGGTTGCTCCTGGGCTCCTGCAGTCAAAGTCCAGGTAGCCCCAGGAAAGGGGTAGACCACCTACCTGCAGGAGGGCTTAGAGGCTGCCCACACCCCACCAAGAAAAATGGTGGCAGGCTGGAGATGGTCTCAAGCCTCCTCCATTCTCCCCCCCCACCCCCATAGCTGGAAGTCCGTTAGGCCAGGCCCTGCCCCTCTATCTAGTGGCTTTTGGTGCCAGCAGCCAGCCCTAGACTTGGCCCTGGGGAAACTGCCAGTGCCTTCCTTTGGCATTTGTCTACCTGGTTCATAGGAAGGCAGTGGGAAAAGGGAGAACATTCCTGGCCACCCAGGCTCCAGAAAGAAGGGAAGGAAAGAAGGAAGCCTGGGCACCCACACTGCTGTACCGCCAGAGCTGGGGCCCGCAGGCTCTCAGGGACTCTTCAGTGATACGTGAGTGGTGGGGGTGGGTGCTGCCTCAGCAACCAGCGCCACCCCACCTCTTCCAGCCACAGTTCACTCCTCGGTGTCAGACTGAGTCATGTGTCTTGCAGGGATTGGCAATGGTGGAGGCAGGTTTTCCCATTCCCTTCTAAATCTTCCCTCTCATCTGGCATCACCCTCTCCACCCACACGCACTGGGATCTGCCCCAGCTCTCCTTAAATCTGAGATCCTTGATCCACTGCCCACGTGCGGATCTGTGCTGTGTGCTCCTCTCACCCCAGATGACCCTGCTGTGGAAGTGGGGTGTGGAAAGGGAACCTGGTCAAACCCTGATTCCTGTGAAAGAGGCCAGGAGCTGGTCCTGGTCCCTTACACATGCTTCTTTCCGTCATGACAGCATGGTGGCCACTTGTCTCTGTGGCAGAAGCCAGGCTGGTTTCTCCACACCTAGGAATGAGTTCTGTGCTTCCTGGGGGAATCCTGTTGATATATATCTTGCAGGCGTGCATCCTGTGTGTCATTTCTACCCTTCTGATTCCCCTTTTTAAATGATTTATTTATTATTTTTTAGATACAGGTCTTGCTCTGTTGCCCAGCATGTAGTACAGTGGCCTGATCACAGCTCACTGCAGCCTTGAACACCTGGGCTCAAGTGATCCTCCTGCCTCAGCCTCCCAAGTAGCTAGGACTACAGGTGTGCACCACCCCACCTGGCTAATTTTTAAATTTTTTGCAGAGATGGGGGTCTCATTAATGTTCCTCAAGCTGGTCTTGAACTCCTGACCTCAACTGATCCTCCCCCCTCAGACTCCTGAATTGCTGAGATTACAGAATGAGCCACTGCACCCACCCTCTGATTCCCTTCTGATGGTGTTCTATGGGGTGCGAGCAGGAACAGCAGTTTGTTTTTGCAGTCACTGACAAAATAGGTGTTCGGGGAGCTTGCTTTCCTACATCAGGACCATGGTGATACATTAAAACAAGAGCCTTCTTCGAGTATACTTGCCTGCAACCTGAGCAAAAGGGAGGTGGGGCTAGGATTTTAGAAGCCAAGGCCCCTTCTCCCTCTACCCACAGACCTGTTCCACACAAACTGTACTGACTTCCCTTTGGCTCCCTCTGGCACAAGATCAGGGAGGGTTCTATGACATTAGCTCCTTAGCTGGAGGCTCCCTAACTCCTGCACAAGCCAGCTTACTCCCACGGTGTAGCCCCGAGCTTGCCTCTCGATCTTACCCAACTCCAGCTGTGTGCTCCCCATTCTTGCTCCCCTGTTCTCTACAGCAAGGCACTTTGTTCTGTTAGCTCCCGCCCACAGAAAAGGGAGGCTGCTTCCTCCTTACCTAGATGTCCCCTCGAGAGATGTGCTGCAGGGATCACAGCATACCTTGAACTCTGGAGCATTCAGGGCCCAATACCAGGTGGCCACACCTGTTTATACACATACACACACACACACACACACACACACACACACACACACATACACACATGCTTTTTTGCTTTCACACAAAACCCATTTTTGCAAATATCCATGTGACTGAGACAATCAGAGGCCACTGGGGGACCTAGGCCTCACTCCCTGCCCCACACCTGGGTCACAGAAAGTTGTGGTGAGTAACGTCTGCCTCATTTCTCCCCACTTTCAACTGTTCTGAGGCTATTTATATGCTCTCTAGAAAGCTGGGGAGGCTGGCTGCTTAGCTAATGCCAAGTCCCTTGAGTGGGAGGCTGAGACTATGGATTTCAGGGCCTCCTTCTGAAAGTCCCAAAGGTTGGAGTCTAACATACTGTGTCCTCCCACTTCCTGGGGGCTTCACTGGGCTTCCTCCAGGTCACAATTCAGCCCTCCTGTGCTCAGCCTGCCATCTCCCCATCCTGTCCCTGCCCCTCCATAGGCATTTAGGCTTATCACTAGTCTTCCTGCCCTCCCCTGAGTCACTTCCTTTTGAACCCCAGTGTGACTTGTCTTCCCCTCTCCCACTTCTTACCTGAACCCTCCTGTCAACCACACATGACATCACACACCATGGTGGGTCCCCATTGTGAAAGGGCCCTTCCTTGACCTGCCCTCAACCTCTGGCTGGTGACTTGGCACCAAACCAAAGCCCAGCACGTCTGAAGCCAGAGGGCTAACCGCAAGCTGCTGCTGCTCCTTAGACAAACGTGCGGTACAACATCCCCGTGTCTTCTGCCTCCCTTTCGGCCATCAAGAGCCTGGGCCTCCGGGGTGTCTCCTGCATTAGCCTGACCAACCTGGACGGCTCACCCACTTCACACCAGGTGCTGCAGTCTGTTGCCTACCATCTGGGCCCTCACCTGCAGAGTTTGTGCCTGGGTGGGGGCAGCCCCACAGAGGCCTCTTTTGTGGCCCTGATCCTGGGCTGCCCGGCCCTGCGTGTCCTTGACCTCAGCGGGTGCGACAGCCTCTTCACATCGGGCACGCTGCTGTCTCAGCCCGAGACAGCTCAGGGTGTCCGGCGGGCATTGAGTGGCCTCCGTGAGCTCAACCTGGCTGGCCTGCGGGACCTAGCTGACCTCAGCTTCAACCAGCTCAGCAGCTGCGCCCCTAGCCTGGAGCGCCTCTCCTTGGCCTACTGCCACCTCAACTTTGAGCTGGGCCCAGCCCGGGGCTCCATCGGCCTCCAGGACTCCTCCCCATCCCAGTTCTCCTTCCGCAACCTACTGCGATTCGTGAAGGAGAGGGCTGGCAGGCTGCACGCCCTGGACTTGAGTGGCACCGGCTTGCCACCAGAGGCCCTGCAGGCCCTGGGCCAGGTGGCTGGGCTGAAGCTGCAGGAGCTGAGCCTGCACAGCTGCCGGGACCTCTCCACGGAAGCCGTGGCCACCCTGTGCCGCCAACAACCAGGCCTTACCTCCCTGGACCTCAGCGGCTGTTCAGAACTGACTGATGGGGCACTCTTGGCTGTGAGCCGGGGCCTGCAGCGCCTGCGGCGCCTGAGCCTGGGAAAGCTGCAGAGGCTGACAGACGCGGGATGCAAGGCCCTGGGGGGCCTGCGGGAGTTGCAGAGCCTCGACATGGCTGAGTGCTGCATGGTGAGCGGGCGGGAACTGGCCCAGGCCCTGCGCTCGGTACACGGAGCTCCACTCCGCCTGGAGTCCCTCAGCCTGGCCTTCTGCTCTTCACTGAAGGTGAGCACACATCATCCCCTTCTTCCTCCCCAGGGCCGGGGCTGGGAGTGGGAACAGGGGGAGTGGGCCTGTGGCACCAGCGAAGGCCACAGTGTTTGTGTCCAAGGATTACTAGTTAGAACTGAAGTTGGGCCACAGTCTGGAAGAGGACAGGCACCTAGAGACGATGCTGCTGCCAGCACTCCTCCCCAAAGCTCCAGCTCTGGGCCGGGGAGGTCCAAGAGACCAGAGTGGCCCAGCGCATGAGGTGGCCCAACACCTCACATGCCAAGTGCTGGGTGATTGCTGCAGTCTGGGGAGAGGCACTGACGACCAGTGTTCTGGAGGTGGGGAGGCTAGAAAGTGGGTGATGGAAGAGGAAGGTGGGGACAGGGCAGTGAAGTAGGTGGGCCTGCAGGAGGTTATGTGACATGGGAGCAGGAGGGCCATTTCTTGGCTGAGGCCTGGCCCTTCAGTAGGGCTCAGTCCTGCCCCTCCAGATGGCGTTCCTGTCTTGGCAGTGTCAGTCTGTCCCTCTTTAGTGGATTATTCCTTCAGACCATCCATGTGACCAGGGTATTCCCAGCCTAAACACTGCCTCCCCCACTTGTTCCCCCGCAAGTGCCCCTCCCTTGCCCCAGTCCAAGCATCCCTTAGCTGCTCTCTCCTGGGCCTCACATTCTAGTGCCTCTGCAGCTCCCCTCTCCACCTCTCTCTACAGACCAGCTTCCCCTCCTCTGCCCTCAGCTCCTACTCCCCAGCCCTGCCTTCTACTGACCAGGGGCAGCTCTACCCCCGACCCTGCAGCCTCAGTTCTGGTTCAGATTCTAGACGGAGCACATTTGATTGGGTCAGCCAGGGTTGGTGTCAGCTGTCCCCACCTGGTCCAGTGAGCTTAGGTCAGAGGCTGCCTCAGCCCACCCTTCAGCAGGGGCTAGGAGCATAGGCAGTGTGGCTACCTTAGAAATTTTCACTGCCCCAGCCAGTCTAGGCCTTTGTCCTCCAGCAACCTCCTCCGGCTCTCCTACCCCAACGGCCCACGCTGTCCACTCTGACCTCTCACTGCCAGTACAGGGACCATGATGCTTCCCTCCTTGGACCCTCTGGTAGCTCCTGTGCCTTCCTCCTGCCTATGGGGGAACCTTAGACAGACCCCTTCCTAGGGCCCCCTTCCAAGCCTGGTGGCACAAGCACAATCTGTCACTACATCCTCTCTCCTCCTACCTCCCCCCTAGGATGCCTCAGTGCTCTCCGTGATCCTGGCGCTGGGCCCGAGCCTCAGGGTGCTAGACCTGTCCTCCTGTGTGACCCTCACCAATGGGACCGTGCAGGCCATCTGCACCTACCTCACCCACCTCTCGGTCCTGCGCCTGGCTTGGTGCAAGGAGCTCCGCGACTGGGGGCTTCTGGGGCTGGGGGAACCAAGTGAGGAACGTGCACAGAGGCCCCAGGTGTGGGACCCTCAAGGTCATGGCAGGGGGTGGGTGGGGGAGGCGGACCCTGGGCTCAGCTGCCCTTCTGCCTATCCCAAGTCTCTCTAGAAGCATTTAAGGGCAAACTCAGGAAGAACCTGAGATGCAGGGGTTTCTCTCCACAGCCATCTCCTGAGCTGGAGCATCAGGCCTCAGGCCCCAAGGACCCCTCTCCTGAGCCACAGGGCCCCTCCCTGCTCACGCTGCAGGCCCTGCAGGAGCTGGACCTCACAGCCTGCAGCAAACTGACTGATGCCAGTTTGGCCAAGGTGTGGGGTGGGGTATGGATAGGCTGAGGATCATGGGGCTGGAGCCAGGGACCTGGGCCACCCCACCTTTCACAGTTCCTTTCTCATTGGCTTCTGCTGTCTGTGGGCATGCCCCTGGCCAGGGATAGGGGAACCTAGAAGGGCCCTGGAAGGGCTGGAGCCCAGCACCATCCTACACCCAACCCACCCTATCCAATCCTTGCAGGTGCTCCAGTTCCCCCAGTTGAGGCAGTTGTCACTGAGCCTGTTACCAGCACTCACAGACATGGGCTTGGTGGCTGTGGCCAGGGGCTGTCCCAGCCTGGAGCGCTTGGCACTGAGTCATTGCAGCTGCCTCAGTGATGAGGGCTGGGCCCAGGCAGCCAGCTCCTGGCCAAGGCTGCAGCACCTCAACCTCTCCAGCTGCAGTCAGCTCACAGAACAGTGAGTGTGTCCGATGACACTGAGCACATGGAGCCACAGGGCAGGGGTGGGCTGGGGCCCCATGCCGGCCAGGCACTCATCCAGCAGCCTCCTCACAGAACGCTGGACACCATTGGGCAGGCATGCAAGCAGCTCCGGGTATTGGATGTGGCTATGTGTTCTGGTATCAACGTAGCTGCCGTCAGGCGCCTCCAAGCCCAGCTGCCCCAGGTGACCTGCGTCCAGTCCCGCTTCGTGGGAGGAGCGGACCTGACCCTAACACTGTGAGGCCAGGTCAGTAACCAGTCCTGTGGTTCATCCTCCTCTGCCCCTGGGGCCCCAGCCCTCTGTGCCTCTTGCCTTCCTCTGCTACAGACCGCTTGTCTAGGACTGGGGGTGGGACTGATCCACGACAGCCCAGGGGACTGTCCTCCCGTCTGCCCCACAGCCTGGTTGCAGCCTCTTTCCAGCTACATGTCGCTGCCACAGGCTCCTGCTCTCCTGGCCAGGGCCTGGTGTTGAGAAGCAGACCTGTGCCTCTTGCCTGCCCACCTCTCAGACCTCAGGCCTGTGCTCACCTGTTCCCTGTGGGAGCCATCCCAGCCTCCCAGGAGCACTGGGCTTTGGCAGCCAAGCCCAAGTCTTTGCTGTAAACCCAAACAGGATTAAAAATTCCAGATAGCACTACCTTGTCTTAAGTTCTCAGACTAAAGTGTCCCTCCTCTCCCTTCAGTTGAAGTGGCCTTGGGGCAGGTAGAGAAAACACCAGGGGCCCGCAGAGAACTTCTTCCTCAGCTGGGCCCAGAGCCCCACAGGTGCCCCGACCCTGGCCTCAGGGCCAGTACCCACTAGCCTCTCCACCTGGGTCTGGCTCCTTCCCACATAGCAGGAGGCACTGGAGAGAAGATGTCAGCAGCATGGAGAAATGAAGTCAGGCTGGTGGCAGCTTTCACGCTGCCCTGTGGGTTCCACAGACTGCTGGGCTCTTCTTTCCTCAGGGGCTTGGGGTCTATAGCTATAGCTGGGCCCAATATTACTTCTGCCCTCAGGGGCTCTGACCTGTCTATGGCTCCACCTCACCCATGCTCCTGAGTTAGGTTTCAATCATAAGGTAGGGCTTCCTACACAGACCAGCCTAGGGATGCCCTCTGGAATCTTTTATTTTTTTAATTTATTTTTTAATTTAATTTAATTTTATTTTATTTAGTTTATTTTGAGACAGCATCTCACTCTGTCACCCACTCAGGCTAGAATGCAGTGGCTGATCATAGCTCACTGCAACCTCTAACTCCTGACCTTAAGTGATTCTCCCACCTCAGCCTCCCAAACTGCTGGGATTACAGGCGTGAGCCACCGCACCCAGCTACCCTTTGGCATCTTGAGTTTGCCCTTCAGTAGAAAGCAGGCCCAGCTTCACATCTCTCCCTTCATGTCTCTCACCAGAGGCCTCCAAGTCTCACAAAGGACACCAGGCAGAACCATCAGGGTTGAGGACTGAGGTCAGACTGTCAGGAGCCTTCTGGAAGCATGGTCCCCAGACCAGCCTGTTAGTGCTGCCCAGGAAGGCATCCATTTGGGACAATGCCTCCGACCCTGCCACCTCTCCCTTGGCTGGTGCCCCCAGACCACAGGCCATTCCTCTCTGCAGGCCCAGCACTGAGGGAGTTGAAGACTTATATTGGAGACAGGAAATAGCCCCAGCCTGTCTCCATCCATGCCCTGCACCCCAGAATCCCAGCCCCCCAACTACAGCTGCTCATGCCCAAGTTTGTGGTCCTGGCCCCAATGCCCCATCTCACCCACCAGCTATGTTTGAAGGCAGAAGGGAAAGACTCTCACTGTCACAGGCTTGGCCCACAAGGTTCAGAGCTGGCTCAACACATACCCAAGAGAAGCAGAATTTATTTCTGCTGCAATCTCTGACGGCCAGGGTGCTTGTGCTTCTCTACCCTCCACCTTTCAGGGCTGTGACAGTGGCAGCAGCTGTGGCCCTCGGCAGGTCTCCCTGTCAAGGTTCAGCGATGCTACAGTCATAGCAGAAGTTGAAGTTGGTGGGGGGCGGAGGAATGGGGGGTGGCCGCTCAGGGATGGGCACGTTCTCCAGCTCCAGCAACCGCAGCTTGGTCTCCATGGTCAGCAGCTGCTCCAGGTCCAGCCGTGTCTGTTCACTGCCCATGGGGCTGCCTAGCAGGGCACTCAGCCCGTCTGTCCACAAGTGGAACTGGGGACAACGGGGCCAACTCCATGAGGGCCTGCCCACCTGTTCCCCCCGCCCATCCGCCCAACTCAGCCTGGCCCAGACACTTACCTCCCGCTTGGAGGGGGCAATAAAGTTGAGGTGCGCCTCCTCCTCCCCTCGGTCATAGCTGACTGAGAAAGCCAACTCACACAGGTCCTGGGGGAGCAAGGTAGCAAGGCACTGAGCAGGGAGCGGGGCAGGTGGGGGCAAGCGCAAAGGAGCCCCGGCCACACTGCATTCACCTTATTCTGCTTCCCGGAGCCCTTCTCCCGGATGTGGGGACAGTCCTTGCCTGTCAGGAGTGCTCTGATGTCAGCCACAGGAACTGTAGGAAGAAGGCTGGGCTGACCACTGGGGGCCCAGGCGGCCCCAGGACATGGGGCAGTCTGGGGGGAGCAGGTGTCTGGCCCAGGCTCTTGCCCTCCTTACGCTGCTCAGGCAAGGCTTCGGGAGTGGGCGGGTCAGCACCCTCCTCCACGTCCCCATACTGTAGCACCTTGTGGTTGGGGGACAGGCAGCAGAACCACAGCTTGTCTGTGCAGAGAAAGGGGAAGTGAGTGAACAGGCATGCCGCCAGGGGCCCTGACCCCAAGCCAGCCACCCTCTGCCCTACCCTCTGCCCACTCAGAGACCTTGGCGCCGCCGGCTGCTGATCTTGCGGAAGAGGGTCCCCTCGCAGAGGCGGAGCAAACGCTGCTGGCGGATCAGGCCCATGAGCTCTGGCTTCAGTTTCTCTCGAAGCTCCCTAGATTGTTGGGGGGGTAGTCACTGACCAGGACTGACCTGGGGCATGGCCTATGGGTGCCATGGAGGGTAGGCCTAGGACTGGGGACCCATGCCTACTGACTCACAGTATAGGAGGAGCAAGCGTGCCCTCCTGATGCAACCGCTCAGTCTGCCGTAGCCGCAGCACCTCCCCATAGGTGAGCGCGTTCACCTTGGTGCGGAAGAGCTCCAGGGAGGAGGGCTTCAGGGCCAGCGTTCGGGCCAGCTGCTCCCGGACCACCTGCATGACCTGGGGTGCCCCAAACTTGGCTCAGGGTCTGAGTTCTGTGCCCCTGCCCAGAACGGCCCCCTGCCCTGGCCCAGGTTTCCCAGCTCCCTGCCTTGTCAAAGTCCTCCTGTGTGGCCCGCATCTCCTTCCAGGTCTTGTTCAGCAACTGGATGCCCACGCAGAAGAGCTCATGGAAGCTCTGGTCTTGGCCGAAGAACATGGGTGAGAAGTCCTGGGCCGTCTCGGAGCCTGGAGCAGGGGGGCAGGAGGGGCTCAGGGAGAAAGTGTGTGCAGCCCCTGGCCCTCTCTGCCCTTCCGCCCCCTGTTCCCAGACACACTGCACCAGCTGAGCCCCACTCACAGGGCTCCCCGACATGGAGCAGCTCACACAGCAGCACTGTCAGCTGGATGCTGCTCCGGGCAAAGGGGCACTCGTGCTTGTCCTCGCGGCTGCTGTTCTCCAACACAAACTGGGGTGGGGGGAGCAGAGGATGGGGTATATGGTCACAGCTAAGCCCACAGAGACCCTGCCAAGGTGGGGGTTCTGCTGACCCCCGCCCTTCCCTGCACTGACCCGGCTGTAGGCACTGGGTGCATGTCTGGAGAAGTACAACATGTTGTCCAGGGCTAGCAGGCCGGGGGGCACGCGCTCTAGGTCCTGCCCTGGGTTGCTATTCTGGGGGAAGGAAGTACAGGCAGTTCAAGAAGGGCCCCACCCTCTGGAACAACAGCAGCCCTGGGCTGAGGCAGGGGTGGGAGCCAGATCGGGGTCACTCACGGAGAAGCCCAGTTTGCGGAACTCTCGGGCACAGAGGGAACGGCGACGGTCAGCGCTCAGCCCGGTGCCCAGGGACTCCCCTTCTGACTCAAAAGCGGCCTGGCGCAGGGCCTGCAGCTGCTCCCGCTGCTCCTGGGATCATTATTGGGGAGTGTTAAGACTGTACATTCAAGGCCAAGACCCCCAGCCTTGTGCCCCCCAAATATACACACTTGGCTATAGGGGTCCAGTGGTGTCCGCATGCGAGGCTCCAGCAGCCCCAGTGTGAGGGACTGCAGCACGTACAAGTGATGAGCCATCTCGTCCCCCAGGGGTGCCGCACTGTGGATGATGTTCTGGAGGACAGCCCGTTGTGGGGGTGAGCGTGGGCTCACTGGGAGAGACCAGGGAGGGGGTTCCCTGGCCCCCTCCCTCCTACCTTATAGATGAACTGGCGAAGGTTTCTCTGCCAGAGGTAGTCAAGCATGTGCTGAGGGAGCGGGAAGGGGACTTAGACGACTTAGCCTCAGAGGGGAGCATAGCACCCACCAGCTGCTGCCCCAATCCAGCCCCTGGTGGACGCTCACCTTACGTTCTGCAGGGCTGGCCCCCTGCAGCAAGGCTGTGAGCAGTGCCATGGCCTTGGTCTGCAGCTGCTGGTTCATCCTGTGGCAAGAAGAGAACTCAGCCCAACACCCAGGGTCTGGCCCTGCTCCCCCTATCTGTACCCCACCCCAGGGGCTTACACCTGCAGGTGCACCAGCAGCCTATCCAGCGGCACCTCACTCTTGATGAGCTGGCCCAGGGCAGGGCTGCTCAAGGTCACACTCTCCAGCAGCCGAAGGGCCAGGGGCTGCACAGAGGGATCCATCAGATTCATGTTCACGTAGCACACGACCTGTAAAAGGGGTAGGGAGTGTCACCGCCTCACCATCATGGAAGGCTGTGGCCAGCACTGCCCCATGGCCCCTCCCTGCTACCCCTAGAAAAGGCCACCCACCTTCCTGACGAAGGGGATGCTGAGCGTCTCCCAGGACACCATGCCATGTTCCATGAGCTCTAGGAAGGTCCTCAGGGCGAGCGCCAGCACCTCCCCTAGGCTGAGGGGGACATCTGGGGCTGAGCAGGACCAGACCAGGACCCCCAAGCCCCACCATGTCCCCCAGCCACCATAGCCCTGTGCTCACTCGTCCCCATCCTCAATGATGGTGCCTAGTCTCTGAAGCCCATCACGGCTGATGACCTCCCGGGCAAAGGTCATGTCTGAAGACAGCAGGACGAGGCGTCTCAGGGCTTCCCGGCGCCCCTCACGACTCCCACTCTGCAGCCCACCCAACAGCTGCTCAGCCTCAAGGTCCTGGCAGGGGCGGACCACGAGCAGAGGTGAGGAGGCTGGGTGCTGGAGTGCGGGAGGTGCTGGAGGGTGGGAGCTGGGGTGCGGGGACCCTGGCGTCCACTAGGTGGCGCGCTGCTGGGCTGGGGCCAGGCCTCCAGACGTTGGGCAAAGGCGCAGGGCGGAGGAGAGGCCAGCGCAGGGGCAGGGAATGAGGGGCGGGTAGGGAGGGGCATTACTGGGGCAGTACTGAGGCACAGGATGCTGCCATTCTTGATCTCCGCGCGGTTCTGGGGAAGACAGCAGAGGGGGCAGCAAAGTCAAGGCGGGCTCTGAGGATTGTCAATTGGGTGTCAGGGAGAGAGCGTGTGGGGGTCAGTAAAAGATCACATTCCGGACAGTGGGAAGATGAGTCTGAGGACCCAGGGCCAGGTGGGTTAGAAGGGCCAGAGGGTGGAGAGTGAGGTTCTGGGGGGAGAAGGGACTCACATTCTCGGTGATGTATCTCCTGTGCCCATCAGCAAACTGCAGGGCATAGCGCTCAGGGAGAGTCAGGCTCCACCTGCGGGTGCTGAGGCTCTGTGAGGCAGGTAGGGGCGCCCCTCCCGCCCACCCTTCCCCCACCCAGTGGCCCGGCTGGCCCCACTCACGCGTCGCACACCTCCTTCAGCACAGCGGCCAGGGGCTTTGCCTGCAAGTGGAGCGGTCACTTACGGGCGGAGTAGGGAAGGGCTGGGGAGGAGCCTCGGGGGAGGGGGAGGGTAGGCTGCTCCGAGGGGAAGGGGGCGACCCTGAGGTAGGCAGTGGGGCAGATGGAGGCAGGACAGGCCGGGTGACCTGGTCCAGCTGGATGAGCTGTGGGATGGCGTCACGCATCTGGACAGCAATCTTCACCACGTTCCGCGGGGGCGCCATGGTCCAGCCGGGGCGTGGGCGCCTGCACTTTCTACAGACCGGGCAACCTCTGGCAGAGGGCACACCTGGCCTGGAGTCCCTGGGGACGAGGAGGGCGTTCCTCTGTCCGCGACCAAGCCCCAGTGCAGTGACCTGCACTCACGGTCCAGGCTCCAGCTCCTGGCCAGGGGCTGCGGCCTTCCCAATGGAGGCTAGTTCCGGGTTGGAGTCCCTGGGTAGGAAGGTAGGACGGCGCCAGCCCTGTCCCGCCCCGCCGAGGCGGCCCCGCCCCGCCCCAAGGTGCGGCAGGTGGGGGCGGGGAGGGCAGACTGCCCCACCTCCCGTTCCAGTAAGATGACCCACCCAGTCCCACCAGGAATCCAGCAAAGTCCCAAGGAGGGGTGGAAAGAACCAGGTCAGAGATAGCCTTAGGCATGGTCTTTATTCACTTGGACACTGTACAAATATTACAATTTCCTTTTGCTGCAAAAAGTATAAAAATAATCTTTTATATAGGAATCCATTCGTTACTGTAAATCTTTCTAAATCTCTGCAAATGGCTCTAAATGAGGGTAAATGAATAAATGGAAATAAGGGGGGCTATGGGGCAGCGGGAGCTGGGCCAATCATCAGGGCCAGACGGCCCAGATTCCTAGCTAGAGACCTCTGTTCCTTCTTGTTAGTGCCTCCCCACTGCCACCTGCAGGTTTCCAGGGCTAAGGGCCCAGAAGAGGGGCACATGAGGTCCAGGAGGAGCTGGAGGGCTGAGGGGTGGGGTGCAGCGAAGGAAGCTAGGGGTGGTGCTGGCACGTGCCCAGCTCTACCCCACCCTTTTCTCCCTGGGGGGAAACGGGATGGCAGCAGGGTAGTGAGGCTGGACAAGCTGCCCTACAGGGGCGATGGCGGGTCCTCGGTTCTGTGCCACTGGGTGGCAGCCGAGCCTGGGTTGGGGAAGGCCCCAGAAAAGGAGACAAACACTTTGGCTCCACGGTGGTGGGGGCTGAGCCCCTTTCCCCTGCACTGGGAGCACAGTGCAAGTGCAGGAATGGGAGCTGTGGCCAGAACTGTGCAGAGGGCAGGCTGGGGAAGCCAGGAGTCTGTGGCTCTCACACTGTGTAGGGGTGGCTAGGGGCAAGTCCCCAGGCAGCCCCCAGGTCTGGGTTCCAGCCACACAGGGCATGTCCCTGTCAGTCAGAGGTTGAGAACAGGCACATCAAAGAGGTCACAGACACCTTCACTCTCGTCCAGGTTGTAGATGTAATCGTGGTCTCCCGGGGGCGGAGAAAGACGAAGGAGGGGGGCAAACACTGCAGAGAGCACTAGGTTGAGACCCCTGGCCAAGGCCCCACCCAGCAGCTGCCCAACCCCCTGCCCACACCCACCCCCCACCTTCCTGGGCCACCCACCTTCTGAGGACATCAATTCTTCCAGTAGCTCTGAGCTCATGCATTCTGGGAGGGGAGAGAGAGCTGTTATGTTCTGACTCCCACCCCTCTACCCACTGAAGCCCAGGAAAGGGAACCTCCACCGGCCCATCAGGAGCTTTACGCTTTGCCCCAGGTACCAAGCACAACCTTAAAGTCCTCAGAAGGGCAAGAAAACAGCTGTACGACCCAATGAACTGTGTCCCTTACTCCCAGTCCCATGGAGTACTGCAGCCTACCTCGTGTGGGATCAAAGATTTCTGACAGCTCTTTGGGGAGTTCCAGAACTGCAAAACAAGGAAGCCATGCTCAAGGCACAGAGGTCCAGCCTGGTCCCACTGGAGCCCCTGCCCTCCTCAGATCCTATACCACCCACCCTGGGGCTCCATACAGCTGAGCAAAGGTAGGCCCTGCCCTCAGTTAAGCTGGCATCATCTGTTGATTTCACCTGTTGGACCTGAACTCCTCAGTGCTGAGCCCACAGTATCAAAGACCCACTGCAGGAAACTGGTACAGCCTTTCTAACTCACAGGTGCTGCAAAAGGGCAACAGACTCCCCTCCCTTTCTGGGTTCTGCGTACACACCCTGTCTGCTGGAGGATGCCCCATCCATCCCCACCCTATCTAAGGTCTGCTCTGTGCAGGGTACAGAGACCACCCCCTGGGTCAGGTCACCAGGCAGAGGTGGAGATAGATACTTCAAGAGGGACTAGTGTTGCAAAGCTCTGACCAGGACACATATGGGAAGCAGAAGAAAATCAAACCAGAGAAGACCTCAAGGAACTTCACATGCCAGGCTTAGAAACTCAGATTTTATCCAGTGGGCTTTAGGGAGCTGTTAAAAAGATACTTTTGGTCGGGCGTGGTGGCTCACGCCTCTGTAATCCTAGCACTCTGGGAGGCCGAGGCGGGTGGATTGCTCAAGGCTGTAAATTCGAAACCAGCCTGAGCGAGACCCACCCCCCATCTCTACTAAAAATAGAAAGAAATTGATTGACCAACTAAATATATACATACAAAAAATTAGCCGGGCATGGTGGCGCATGCCTGTAGTCCCAGCTACTAAGGAGACTGAGGCAGAAGGATCGCCTGAGCCCAGGAGTTTGAGGTTGCTGTGAGCTAGGCTGACACCACAGCACTCATTCTAGCCTGGGCAACAAAGTGAGACTCTGTCTCAAAAAAAAAAAAAAAAAAAAAGATACTTTTGGGCCAGGCATAGTGGCTCATGCCTGTAATCCCACCATTCTGTGAAGCTGAGGCTGGAGGATCACTTGAAGCTAGGAGTTCGAGACCAGCCTGGGCAATATAGTGAGACTCAATCTCTACAAAATATAAAAAAATCAGCCAGGCATGATAGCATATGTCTGTAGTCCCAGCTAATTGGGAGGCTGAGGCGGGAGGGCCACTTGAGCCCAGGCATTAGAGGTTGCAGTGAGCTATGATCAGCCACTGCACTCCAGTCTAGGTGACAAAGTAAGACCCCTATCTCTTAAAAGAAAAATACTTTTGTAACAGGTTTGTGTTTCAGGAAGATCATTCTCTCAGAGTAAAGAGGAGGATGCTGAAGAATCTAGAATAGAGGTGGCCAGGAGTCAACCTGAGTGTTGAGGATGCAAGAGAGATGAGATGACGTGTCTGGGACAGAATGCTTAGCCAACAAGAGGTGGGCAGCAAAGGAGATGAACTGGAGTGACATCCAGGGGTCAAGCCTGGGTGACCAGGGACAACGGTAGGGTGCTCACGACTAAGGTGGAAAAGAGAGTTTTGGGAGGAAGATGAGTTCAGCTGAGGACATGTGGGAATGAAGTGTCCTTTGGATGTACAGAGGACGGCAGGTGGATAATGCAGGGTGGGGATCGGGCAGGAGACCTAGGCGAGGCAGCAGCTGGGGGCTCATACATCCAGGTGCAGAATGGGACAGAGCCCCAGAAAGTGCCAGTGTTTAAGGAAGTGTCAGGGAGAGTTCAGGGAGAAGCCAGTGGGGTAGAAGAGCCAAGAGCTGGCATCATTAAAACCAAAGGAGAAAAGAACATTAACACGGAGCAAGAGAGCACTGAAGCAAAAACACTCTAGAAATGTGCTGGATTCGGCAGCTGGGTCTTCAGCAACTTAAGAGTGGCACTGCTGTAGTGCCAGAGGTGGGGGGTGACTGCGGCAACCTGAAGGGTGACCAGGAGATCAAGATGTGCAGGGGAGTAGAGATTACTCTTTCAAGGAGTCCAGACAGAGAGGAGACAGGGAAGGCAAGAGGAGTATCAATTAGGGAGGTGAGACAGGTTTACTGTTACTCCAAGGGGTGGAAGGCCAGGGCTTGACAGAGGCCCAGAGAGAACTGTGCCAGCCCAGGAAGGGGGAAAAGGGCACCTCACCCTGGCTGGCAGAGAGCGCTGTGTCAGGCAGGGGTTCACAGGAGAGCTGGGTTCCAGCCCCAGTGCTGCTTCTGACCTAGGACTGGGCAGAAGCTGGATTTTCCCTGCCCCTGCATTAACAGGTACTCACCGCCTGTGGGGTCCGCCTTGATGGGCTCAAAAGAGGTAGAAGGGTTCGGTCCAGATGAACTGCTGCTGTTGCTGCTGCTGCTGCTACTGTCCAGCAGGGCAGAAGACTGCAGTGGCCGGGTGTCCAGTGCTGTCGGGCCCAGCGGAAGTGAGCTGAGCTCACCACTGTCCTTGCTGTCAGTTCCAGGGCCACCACTCACTGCAACCACATCCCCTGAATCCAGTCACAAGAGGGCAGGAAGTGGGTCATTGAACCTAACTGTGCTAGAACCTGTGGCCAGGGTGACCAGTCCTAATTCCCAGACCCAAGGAGAATCAGGCATTGCCAGTTGCCCCAAAAGAGGGAACCTGGAAATGAGTCCCTAAAGGAGACAGAGACACAAGGCTTATAGGAGGGAGACTCGTGCATGTCTACTACGGCCACACTTCAAGAGGGGCTGCCAGGGCAGGTGAGACACCAATGGATCTGGGGGAAACTGTCACCATTAATGGCCCTTTACATAGTCAGAGCTTCCCTGTTATAAAGGGACTGATCATTCACTGCCATCGCAAGGGGAGGCTGGGTGGAGGCCAGGAAAAGGACAACCCCCTCCAAGTCTCTTCCAACTCTGAGTATGGCATTCCACAAAACAGAAGTGTTGCCTTTTGGACCCCAGAAGATAATCCTATCACCAGCTCCCATTGTGCCTCACCTGTGATCTCAGCTGCTGGGCAGGCCACCCCTAGGACATCGGTGGTGCCAGGGACATGGGTGGAAGTGGTCAGCTGGGGACTGCTTGGACATGAGGCTTCCTGGGACTGGACTGGGGCAGGCTTGGGCAGAGGTGGAGGGGTAGACACAGCAGATGGGCTCTGGAGCAGATCTTCAGGGGGTGGCACAGGCACAGCCACAGGTGGTGAGCTCCATGCCTCCTTGTTTACCAGCAGCACTTCAATGGGGCCACTCACACTCTTTAGGTGAATCTGATACTTCTTCTGCCCATTGAGACCCTGGAGATAAGTGGTAGGGGATAGGCAACAGGTGGAATTGGAAGCAGGCTTGGCTCCTGCCTGACCTTGGGTCAGGGCCAGTGTCCTCTCCCACCCAGGCTGCTCATCCTCTTAGATAACCCCAAACCCCAGGCGTCCCCCTACCTGCCCCACCCGGAACTTATCAGGTTCCACAGCCAGCACCCGCCCTCAAGTGACCCCGCCTGCCTGGGTTTAGCACCCACCTCTGGGATGGGCACCTCCAGGCTGGTGCCTGATGGGGCCCGGATGGCCAGGAGAGTGTCTCCTAGAATGACAAGGAGAATGGGTCAGAGCCCATGGGTTCAATCTGAGCTGGGAAGGGAAGTACTTTCCCCTTGAAGCAAGGCAGGAGAGCGTGGTCTCAGGTACTAACTAGATAGTAGGCCTCACCCATCCCCCACAATGGACAAACAAAGCTGAAGCCTTTCTCTCCCCAAGGCCAGGGTCAGTAATGAGGAAATCTGGGTTCAAATATGTAGAGTGAAAGATCGCTGGCCATGGGCACCTCACTCTTTGATTGACAGGGCTGATATCTAGGTACAGGTATTCTGGCTAACGCCAATGTCCCTTTCCCAGGACTAGCCTGAGGGACACAAGATGGAAAATGAGCAGTTCCTGTATTCACAATGCTACTAAACTCACTACAGGTTAAAAGAGGGCACCACTGTTCCCTGTACACAAGCATGCAAGAGCCTGCCCACAAAAGCACGCATGCGCACATACACACACACTCACATATACTCTTTCCTTCCCCCTTGTGCCTCTATCATGCCCAAGAAGCCAAATCCAGGGGGCAATGCAGATGGGAGCAAATCCAGGGACCCGTTCCAGAATTATTATACCCTCTTAGTATCGTTGGCCTTCACAGGGTCCCAGTGACCTTCAAAAAGACTTACCCTGCCTGGTTCCTTTTTGAGCAGGCCCCATGATCTTAAGAAATGGAACTCTTCTTGGGTACTTAGCCCAGTACTCAGGGCTGTGGCTTAGCCTAGCCCCACCCGCAAGTCCCCCTACCCAGGCTCTGCTCACCAGCAAAGCATCTGCAGATGTCCTCATGAGTCACGTAGGCCAAGGTGTGGGGGTTAAGGAGAATGGCTGATGCCCTGCCTATGGTGACAGATGGCAGGCTACAGAGAAGACCCAACTCTTTAGCAGAGGTCTGACATACAAGCCCTCAAAGTTCTGGGGACTGGGGTCCACATGGGGCTAGATCACAGGCCAATACTGGAGGAGGAGGGGCTCTGGGGAAGGAGTGTGAGGCTGGGACCTGACCAGAGGCTACAGGACCATCCTCCCCAGAGGGACCGGGCCCAGGGCACACAGAGAAAACCCGCTGGACCAGAGGGCCCCTTGCCCACTCCCCCAGAGCAGGGACCGCCAGGAGGATATCAGCTGTTCTGCACGTCCTCTGTGACGTTCCGGATGCTCTGCTGCACCCACACCTTGTGCTGGTCCAGTTCTTGCTCCCGCTGCTGCAGCTCCTCGATCTCTGCTTTGAGCTCAATCAGCTTGTCGGCAATCTCTCGGGTATTGCAGCCAGGCCCCACACCCCTGTGCCCAGGGAATGGGACTAAGAGGGACTGCTAGGAACTCTGGGTCCCATGCACTCTCCACCCCACACCCCTGACAGACACTTCTGGACAGGATACCTTACTGCCCTCTCAGATATCCCCACTCACTTCCACTGGATGCTGTTCTTGGATTTTTTCTCGATCAGCCCAATACCTTCTAACACGTTGGTAATGTCGTAAATCCGCCGCTTCTGGCGCACAGCTAGGGTGTCAGCTGCCTGGCAGACAGAACAGAGTGGAGAATGCTCAGCTCCACTATCAGGTGTACCCCCAGCTACCGTGAAACGTGATCTGGGAGCGGGGTAGCTTGAGTCCCAACCCTGTAGTGCCTCCCAGGCACTACTGTAGCTCAGGACCGCAGGGTGAGAAGAGACCTGGCACAGTCCTGAACTGATGTTCTGATGCTCTATCCCCACGCCAGCCAGGAAGGGCCACGAGGACGAGCACCTGCAGCCCCGAGCTTAGCACATAGCTGACGCTCAGTGGCCTTGGCCGAATGAATGAAACAGCCCCGGCCTCTCTCCTGTGAGAAAGCACACGATGGTGGCTGGCTCTCGGTAGACCCAGCTGGGCCACCCCGGGAGCTCCCGCTACCGGCCCAGGCCTGGTCCACCATCCCCGCCTTGTCGCCCCTTAGCCCAGGCCGCACCAGCTTGAGGTCAAGTACGCCGTCCTTGGCCTCCTGCAGAAGCGACACGAACTTGGTGGTGAGAAGTCCCAGACTCTTCTCGTGCCGGCTCGGAGTGCCCGGGGGCGGCGGCGCCTGTGGCCCGGCCTCCGCCATCGCGCCCGCCCGCCGCCTCCCCTCAGCCAGGCCAGGCCAGGCCGGCGCCGCCGCCACTTCCGCTTCCGTTCCTGGCCGCTCGGCTGCCGGAGCCAGCGTCGTTGCTTCCGCTTCCGCCCTGCGCATGTTCCAGGGAACGTGGCACAATTCCTGCCTACGGAAACTGACGCAAAACTTCAGGGACCATCAGCAAATGTCCAACTGCTGAATAAGACGAAACTATTCGGGGATCCTGGGAGACCTGACAGGTTAAGGAGAAATGTGTTAGAGGTCAGTGGATAACCCAGGCAGTAGAGACGTGGGAGTCACCCGAACCTTCCTTGCCAGCCTGCCCCAACACTGTTAACTCTGCCCACACTGCCTGAAGAACCCAACCAGTTCCCTCTAACCTGCAGCTAAAGGCTGTCCCACTGTCTTGGGGTCACCCACTCTATTCCTGTCCCTCATTTCCTGCCAAATAGTAAGCACTTGTACACTTTTCTCTATCCCTAGTCCCATCCTCATCTTTCTCTTGTCTCCACACTGCAGTGCATCGGTGCAAATGTGTTTACCTATGTGTTAACGTAAGTAAAGCACTTGGAGCAATTCCTGGCATATGGAGCAATTCCTGGCATATAGGAAGGATTATGTGTTCGCTAGGACCATTTTGTTATTTTTAACATTGTTATTATTTATTATTATTCCTTTTTAATTAATCAATTAATTTTCTTTTAGAGACGGGGACTATTGCTCTGTCACCTAGGCTGAAGTGCAGTGGCCTGATCATAGCTCGTTGTATAACCTTGAACTCCTGGGCTCAAGCGATCCTCCTGCCTCAGCCTCCAGAGTAGCTGGGACTACAGGAACAGGCCACCACCCCAGGCTAGGTTTTTAAAATTTTTTATAGAGACAGTGTCTCATTATTTTGTCCAGGCTGGTCTTCAACTCCTGGCCTCAAGCAATCCTCCACCTTGGCCTCCCAAGGTTCTGAGATTACAGGCGAGAGGCCAATAAATTATTATATTATTCCTTTTAGGTCAGGTTCTTTGGGACATGGACTCTGAGATGGAGATTTGCAGCAGGTTTGGGGGATCCACATTTGTAAGGGTAGCCAAAAAGAATTGGGCAGATGCAGTTATAATAGAGGCCTCAGCCCATCCCACCTCAGCTCCGAAATTGGGGTAGCCCTTCTGAGACATTCACATCCAGGCAGGGGTACCAAGCATTTGTACCCCAATATTGACTGAGAGATTCATCTGTGAGACCTCAGCAGCCTATACTCTTGGCAGCTGAAGGAATCAGTGCCTCTGCCCTGGAATCCCTTCCCAGGCTCCCTATAACTGTCAAGGTAAACACAGCTTTCATGACCTCTCTCCTGCCACAGCCCACCGTGCCCCCTCTTTCCAACAGCCTGTATCAGTTTCTCCTCTGCAGAGGTTCACAGCCCCCTCTGAGGGGCCCAGCAACACAGTTTTCATACTGTGATGTCCTCTGCATCCCTATCTGCACATTCACCCTCACCCCGCCAGGTTGAGGCCAAGTCTAGTTCACATCTGTGTCCTGAGTGCCAAGAGGTCCTGGGTGGGCTGGTCATGACTCTATGACCCTGGGAGTACACCCCTCCCCCCACTCCTCAGGGAAGTGGAGCCCAGCCCTCCCCACCCTCGGTGCAGATGCTCTTTCCTGTTGGGAATAAAGTGCCAGAGACTCAGCTTCCTTCCTTTCTGTCGGTGGCCTTGGGGAGGGCGGGGCTTTGGCTGGAATAAGGGGCTTCTGGGCTGAGAAGTGGGAGACAGGCTTCCTTGGAGAGAGGAGTCCTCCTGTTGTGTGCTGGAGTCAGCTAGAGTCACCCAGGCCCTGTGAGCGATTGGTAGGCGTGCCCAGCTCTGCCGGGGGAGAGGGCCATTCTCAAGGCCAAGGCTGTTTGCGGAGGAGGGAGAACTGGATGCTTGGTCAAGCCTGGTAAGTTCTACAACGAACTGTCCTGTACAGCTGAGGGCAGGAATGGGGTCCAATGAGCCTGTGCCCACCCTGCGCCACTTAGCACATGCAGCGGCACAACTGAGAAAGCCAGCAGGCAAGGCCTCCCAGGTGCCTCTGCATCACACCACCTCCCTCTTATTTCCTGAGGCGGCTGGGCAAGAACCTCCCTCCTCCTTCTCAGAAAGGTCTAGACTACAGCAGCTCAAAGGAGCATCCTCCCTTCCTGCTCTATCTGAGACCCCCGTCCCTGGCCCACCTCAGCTCCGGCTTCTCCAGGCCCGCCATGGACTCAGCAGCCAACGATGAAATGCAGCCTGCACTTCCTCCTGGTATGAGCCCTTGGGGGGGGGGGGTTGGGGAGAAACAATGGCAAGAAAGGTGGGAACAGTGGAGTTGGAGCCTCCCTGCCAGGGCTGGCTGGAGCTCTATAGGGCAGTGAGAGGAGTGCACTGCCCTGGGGATGGGCTGAGGTGTAGGAAGGGGAGAGGGTTTGGAGGCCACTTCCTGCAGGCCCTCCCCAACTGACATGGCTGCTCAGGCTCTTCCTGCCCAGGGCCTGAGTGGCCAGAGCAGGAGAGGGCAGAGCGGCTGGCCCGAGGTGCTGCGCTCAAGTGGGCCTCGGGCATCTTCTACCGGCCGGAGCAGCTAGCCAGGCTGGGGCAGTACCGCAGCCGCGAGGTGCAGCGTACCTGCTCTCTGGAAGCACGCATCAAGGTGGGCCTGGGCAGGGAGCAGCAGTGCTGGTGCTGGGGTGCTGGGCTGGCCGGGCCTCACTGGCTGCCTCTCTCCACAGTCGGTGGTGCAGTCATACCTGGAAGGCGTGCAGACTGGTGTGTGGCAGCTGGCCCAGGCCCTTGAGGCCATGCAGGGGACCCGTGAAGCCTTGAGTCAGGCCCATGGGTTGCTCCAGGACATATCCAAGTCCTCACAGACCCTGGAGACCCTGCGGGAGCAGGTTTCCCAGCACAAGCAACTGCAGGCCCTGTCTCAGTTGCTGCCCCGGCTGCAGGCAGGTGAGTGTGCAGGAACCCTGAGCCTCAGCATCCGACAGTCAGTCCACAAACGCCCATCACTGATCTAGGGGCTGGGGCACTAGGTGGGGGACTGCGTGGAGGGGCATACCAGGGACCTCCCAGGGAGTAACTCAGGCTTCAAATGGCCTATGAAGCAGTGTACAAACCAGCTAGTCCTGGAGTTCCCAAGCATGGGATGCTTAAGTCAGGATGGACACCCCATCAAGTGGCTCTGGCCTCCCTGATGCTAACATAGTGAAATATTTCCCTAATGGAGTGGGTGAATTAGCCACTAGCATCACCCCTCAATTCCCCCTGCCTTCCCTCCAGGATCCTCAACTTCCTCATATTCCATTAGCTCATGGGTTGACACCTGGCCCACCAGGCCTCTAGAACTTTTTTGCCTGGTTCCTTTCAGATTAGCCAATGCTTTATTGTACCAGTTATTAAATATTTTATACATCTCTCCAGCCCCAGGGCCTCAGTATCCCCTGCTGTACCCATTGTGGTGGTGGGAATGCTGAGACCCAAGGCTGTCTCCTTTCTTCCCTCAATTAGTGCCAGCTGCAGTGGCCCACACACAGACCCTGATTGATGCCCAGCGGCTCTTGGAGGCATATGTGAGCCTTCGAGAGCTGGAGCAACTGCAAGAGGAGACATGGGCACCCCTGGGGAGCCTGGAGTTGCCAGTCTTCCAGGAGCTGGGCCTTCTGGCTGAGGCACTGGGCCAGGCTGTGGAGGCAGCTGCAGGGGCAGCAGGGCAGCTGGCACGGGAGGACCCAGCCCTGCTGGTGGCTGCTGTGCGTGTGGCAGAGATGGAGGCTGGACGAACAACCCACCTGGGGCAGGCTCCCCGGGACTGGAGGCAGCGCTGTCTTCAGGCACTACAGGAAGGCCTGGAGCGAGTCCACTTTGGGACATCTCTGCTGCCTGGTCCAGGGGCTCTAGCAGAGTGGCTGGAAGCTCTGCGAGTGGCCCTGCCAGCTGAGATGGCCACAGCTGAGGCACTAGTAGCACCCTGCTGCCCGCCACACTACAAAGTGGTCCAGCTATGGGCCCACACCCTGCACAGTGGCCTGCGCCGCAGACTGCAGCAACTCCTCACAGGGCCTGAGCTGGGGGCTTCTGATGCCTTTGCCTTGCTGCATTGGGCACTGCATGTGTACCTGGGGTCAGTGTCTCTGGGGCATTGGGAAGTGGGTGAATCAGAGGCTGGGAGCTCAGTGTGACACCAGGTGACCCATCTCCAGGCAGGAAATGATGGGGAGCCTGGAGTTGGGGCCTGAGGCTGATGTATCCCAGCTGGAGCCCCTCCTAACCTTGGAGAATGTTGAGCAACTAGAAGCAACATTTGTGGCCAAAGTCCAGGTGAGTAGTTGGGGCACAGATCCTGAAAGGCTCTGCCCATCAGCTGTGGGCCTATATGTGTAGAGTCAAATGTCTACCCACATCTGGCAAGCTCAGTGCCCTGCTACATTCTTTTGCCCCTCACCCCTTCTCCCAGGCAAGTGTGGCCCAGTGGCTACAGAAGGCACTGGATGGGGAGGTAGCTGAGTGGAGCCAGGAGCAGGAGCCCAACACAGACCCATCTGGCTTTTACTACTCACCAATGCCGGCCATTGTGCTGCAGGTGGGTGGGAGGTGGCCAGGAGGCAGGCAGGCCCATGGGGAAAGGAGAGGGTAGGGGCTTTGCTGATGACTGCCCACCCCTGCCTGTAGATCCTGGACGAGAACATTCGAGTGACCAGCCTGGTCAGTGAGTCACTGCAACGGCGGGTGCATGGCATGGCACTGTCAGAGCTGGGTGCCTTCCTGAGGAGGTCTGCCAAGGCACTGACCCACTCCCAAACCCTAGCCCTGCTCCCAGGGCAGCCCAAACAGGCACTGAGTGAATAAGACACACCAATGGGAAAGGGCTCCTTCAAAAAAGGACTTGGGTGTCTTGAGGGTGGGGCAGGAGTAACAGGGACTGGGGTTGTGGAGGCACCAGAAAGCAGCAAGTCCAGCTATCTCTGCCCATTGCAGCTTCAATGATGCTCTGATCCGATTCTCCCGAGACCACCTCAGTGGGGAAGCAACGGCCCCTCATTATGTGTCCTACCTACTTGCGGCCCTCAACCATCAATCAGCACTCAGGTACCAGAAGGGCCCCACAGTCACCACCATCACCGTCCCCCTACTGAGTGCCTATTATTTGTGGACCCAGCCCAAGCTAGGTCCCTAGGGACTTTGGACTCACATAGGTCAGGGGTTTCCAATCCTACTTCTGCTAATTACTGGTTAGGTCAATTACCTAATCTCTCTGAATGTTGCTTTTCTCATTAGTATTACATGGGTAATAATGGAATGTTCCGAGAATTACATGAGATAAATGGATGTGAGGTACCTACCACAGAGCCTGTCGCATAGTGTCAATTATTCATTCATTCAACAAATATTTATCAAGACCCTGCTCTGTGCCAGGAAATGTCTGGGGTTCCAGCTGTGAACTAAACAGAAAAAGTTTTCTTCCTGGCCAGGCACGGTGGCTCACGCCTGAAATCCTAGGACTCTGGGAGGCGGGCGGATTGCTCGAGGTCAGGAGTGCAAAACCAGCCTGAGCAAGAGACAGACCCGTCTCTACTATAAATAGAAATAAATTAATTGGCCAACTAATATATATAGAAAAAATTAGCCGGGCATGATGGTGCATGCCTGTAGTCCCAGCTACTCGGGAGGCTGAGGCAGCAGGATTGCTTGAGACCAGGAGTTTGAGGTTGCTGTGAGCTAGGCTGACGCCACTGCACTCACTCTAGCCTGGGCAACAAAGTGAGACTCTGTCTCAAAAAAAAAAAAAAAGTTCTCTTCCTCTTAGGGGTTATGTTCATTGTAGTGGGGACTGGGAGGACACACATGTTGATTTTTACTCTTTTCTCTCTGGGATTAGCTCCCTCCCCTTACGGATGAGGAAACAGAAACTGAAAGAATGATTTGCTCTAGGTCACACGGTGAATTAGAGGCAGGTCCCTCTGGGATGTGTCCCTTCTAGCTCTCCCAGCTTCAGACCTTCAAACCTGCAGGAAGCCGCCCTTCTCCCTCCTTTCGGCCACACACTTGCGCCACAAGGTGGCGTCCGAGCGGAGGGACCACAGAGGGCCACACGGGCCTTGGCCTTGGTCCTGAAGCCGTGGTTTTGGTCGGTCCAGCTCCTCAGTGTCCGTCCTGCAGAACGACTGGGTGGCTTCAGGGGCCTTGGCTTCGGTGGAAGCTGGGCTGGACGAGTTGCAGAGGAGGATCTGCCGTCTGGTGTTGGAGGCGCTGCTCGCGGAGCTCCAGGTGAGGCTTCACTCAGGGTGGGATGGAGGTGGGAGGTGGAGACGCAGCCTATGTATAGGGGGGTTCCGCGGACATGGGTTGACACCTGGCCCACCTGGTCTCAGATCCAGATCCTCTGCTAGGTCTGGATCATTTCTCCATCTCCGGCTCCGCCCCCTCCCCCAGTCTCTGTTCGCAGCTCTGCCCTCGCGCCAGTGGCTGTCGAGCCCTGAGCAGCTGGACGGTGTGTGTGAGCGGACAGAGCGCTTCTGCCGGGACTTCTGGCGCGTGCGGAACCCCGCGGTACAGGTGCGTCGTGGGGCGTGGAAAAGGCTGGGCGCGGGCAGCGAGGATGGGAAAGGCGACCTTCCGCATCGCCCTCCCCGCAGCTGCTGCTGGCGGAGGCAGAGCGGGCCGTGGTGCTGCAGTACCTGCACGCGCTGATGCAGGGCCGCCTCGTGTGCCGCGGGCCCGACGAGAGGACCCAGGCGGCCGAGCGCCTGCGGCAGGATGCTGCCCAGCTTCGCGAGCTTTTCCTCGGTTTGGTGAGAGCTCGTTGGATGGGCAGACGGGCACAGTCTCCGCGGTTGGGTGGGGCCCCGGGGCCGGCACGATGATACCCGACCTCGACGTGCTCAGGGCCTGGAGGAGAGCGCTCACTGCGCGCCGGTGCTGCTTGCCCTGCGGGAGCTGCTGAACCTCCGCGACCCCATGCTGCTTGGCCTCGAGGTGGCGAGCCTGCGGCAGCAATTTCCCGACGTGAGGTGAGGGGACCGTGGCGGGGAGGGAGAAGCAGCCCAAGGAGGACGGGGCGGGCCTGATGTGCCTCGATGATGCCCCTGCAGCGAGGACCACGTCTCCGCCCTCTTGGACCTGCGCGGGGACGTGTCCCGAGAGCAGCGCCAGGCCGCCCTCAGCTCTCTGCAGGCGGGCCCGCCGCCCTCGCCCCCCGCCGGCCGCCGCGCACTCTTCAGCCTGGTGTTGGCGCCCGCGCCCGCGCTGTCCTCCTGCCTCACGTCGGGGTCCTGCGCCTGACGCCCGGCTTGCCGCAGAATAAAGCCACGGCTCCTGTATGCCTGAATCTGTGTGTGTCAGGGAAGGGGTAATGGAAGTTTAGGAGGTCCACGCGCAGTGGCAGGCCGGAGGGTCCTGGCACACGGGCTGCGACCTACCTATCTAGACACTGGCCCCCTCCGTGACTGCGTTTCAGAGGCCCCGGGGCTGTCCCGGGGCTCAGACTACCCCCCACAGTCGCGCGGAGCCGACGCCCCCGCCTGGGGTCGTGGCGTGGTGACGTACAGGCCCCTCAGCCCTGCCTGGCCCCGCCCCCAGTGGTCTCGGGGGCGCGCCGCCGCGGAGACTGACGCGGGTCTCCACGCCTTCGTGTGAGCGTGCGCGCACCCGAGTGCGTGCGTCATCGGCGTCCGCACCCGCGGGCTGGGCGGCCGGCGACTGGCGTTGCGGAGCGGACGGCTGGCGGCAAGAAGAGGAGCGAACAGGTGGGGGCGCGGCACGCGGACGGAATTCCCCCAAAGGCCGACAGAACGCACGCGACGCGGCCCCTCCTGATCTACCATAGAACCCCACTCCATTGTCTTCTGACCCCACCCTCCATTGGGCACGCCCTTCGCTCTATCCTCTGCCGCTTATTGGCTGTAGGTCACGCCCCTCCTCGATCTCTCGGTCCCCATTGGCTCCTCTTCCACGTTATCCTCTCCCGGCGTTTCTTATTGGCACAGGCCACACCCTCTCATTTGTCACCAGACCCCGCCTTTGGTACTTGGAGACTCCTCCCCCATCCAGCCTTCATTCATTCGGCATCTAGTGCTGGGTGCCTGGGACATGGCAGTGCTTGCCTTCGGGTTCAAGGGTTGGTGGGGGGACATGGACCTAGGCTCCGACAGTGACAGCCTAGAGCGGTAAAGCAGCTGCCAAAGCAGTGGGACCCTCTAGACGCCGGGAAGGTTTCCCGGAGGAGGTGAGGCCAAAACCGAACCCTGAAGAATGGTTAAGAGTTTGCTCCAGGGAGACATTGCGAGGGCATCCTTGGCGGAAGGACCTGGGACATGAAAGAAACAGGCGTATTCTGGTAATTTCGAGGAGGTAGGTCGAACGAAAGAAGGGGAGATGAAGGGGACTGGCCCTAGTAGAGGCCTGGAAATCAGCGAGGAGTCCAGAAAAGCGTACAGTTAGTTGAGGTGAGTGAAGCCTGAGACCTGAAACCTTTTCAAGGAGCTGATCATTAGGCAACGTAGAGGAGGGTGGCGAAGATCAGGTCTAGATGGGGAAGCAAAGCTCAGGAAAGGAATGATTCTACTTCTGATAAGGAAAAGGGCTTTTGGGTTCATTCATTTACTGAGCAACCGCTCTGGGTCAGGCACTGTTATGGGTTCAGGGAATACAGCTGTGAACACTGGAAAGGATAAAACAGATACTAAGCATCAAATTTACTGCACAGGTATAAAGTGTACTGACCTGATGGTGATCATTGCTACAGGGGAGGGAAGATTGTGGTGGAGAGGGGAGAGAAGGTTTACTATTTTTTAGAGAGCATGTTAGGGAGACTTTTCTACTAGCATGGTATTTATGCAGAGATTTGAGGAAAGTAAGCGAGCAATCCATGCCATTATACGGGAGGAAAAACATTCCAGAGAAGGACACATGGGTTTGATATGCCTGTTAAAAAATGTTGCATTGAAACTGGCAAGACTGGTCCAAACTGTATGGAAGAAGTCTTGGCTCATGTATTTAAAACCATGACAGTGGATGAGATCACCTAGGGAGTGAGCATAAATGGAGAAGAGGAGAGAAGTTCCCACAAACAAGTCCTGGGAGATTACTGTGTTAAGAGGTTGGGAGATAGGGATGACCAGCAAGAGAAACAAAGAAGGAACAGCCAGTGAGGTGGGAGAACTAAGTTTGAGTGTTTGGAAAGTCAAGTGGAGAGTATGTTTCCAGGTAAAGTGATTAACTGTGTCATGTGCTGTTTCTGATCAATATTAAGGTCACTGGTGACCTTGATTAGACCAATTTTGATGGAGAACACGGAACAAAAAGCTAATTAAAGTGAATTTAAGAGAGAACAGGAAAGAGGGAATTGGAGATGGGTATAGATGACTCTCGAGTTATTGTGCTGCAACAAGGAGCAGATGGAGGGAGATGCAGTGCGGCTGTAGCTGAAGGAGTGTGGGTTCAAGTTTGTTTTGTTTTTTTAAGATGGAGAAATAACAGCATGTGTTTATGCTGATGGAAAGAATCCAGTAGAGAGGAAGAGACTGATGATGCAGCAGAGAGGGGAAATGCTGGAATTGTGTCCCTGAGCAGGCAAGGGAGCCTGCAGGCTGGAGCCTCCAGTCAGTCTCTGGGGAGAGACTGGATTGGCCTGAGACCTGGCACAGAGTCAGGGGTGAGCACCCTAACACTGGCCTCGGGTGACCACTTGGAAGATGCCTCAGATAGGGGACAGGCTTGGATTTGTTGAAGTTTCTCGCTGCTTCCCAAAAGCAGGTTGTAATTTGGATTTGAACAGATGGCTCAGAGGAGAGAGGGCATGGGGGGAGGGGCTAGCATAAGCAGAGGGTGCTCAAGCATTCAAATAGACTGAGGCCAAATGGTCAGGAGCATGTGAGTGGAGCCAGGTGGGAGGGGAGGGGTGGGACTGAGGATGCCTTGGGTAGAAGGCAGCCTCAGGACCCCCACCTATCATCCATCCTGGCAGCTGAGGCAGCACTGTACCAGCTTCCAGACTAGGTGAGTGCTGGGCACAGAGACTAGAATCATGAGTAGGGACTCAGTCCTTGCTTTCTGGAGCTGAGGGGATTCCAGTAACTAGGAATCATCTTCATCTAGGTGGGTATATAAAACTCTTGCTTTCCCCCAGCCCAGCCTGCTTTGGTGAGCCTGCTGGAAGGAACAGACACTGCAGCCACCCAGACCCTTGGCAGCAGACCCTGGGTCTACCAAGGGCCCAGCAAGGGCAGTGTGGAGTGCAGGGCCTGCTGGTCCTCTGGCCACACCCACTCATGCTGGTCTCCACATGCTCTTCTGTGTCCCCAGAGGTCGACAGAGTGGGGAGTTGGAGTGACCCGGCTGGATGTGACCCCCAAGACAGAATGGTGCTGGACTCGGGGGATCAGGTGTATGAGCGGGCACCCCCCAGCCCGTCTGCCAGTCCCCCATCTCTGCACCATAGGCTGAAGCCCTCAGACCGAGATGGGCTACCGCGGTACCCCTGGTCTCAGTCCCTTGCCTTGCCCCTGGCTTTGGCAGTTCCCTCAGTGCTACAGCCCCAGCCTGAGCGGCAACTCTCGTCAAAGCTGCACTTGGGCCCCCGTAGCCACATGCGTCGCAGTGAGAGCACCTACACTGTAAATATTACTAGCCAGCGAGGGTGTGGCACCCAGGGACGGGCCACACCTGGACGAGGACGGAACCCAAGTGGGGGCAACCTGCGGTCTGCATCCTCCCTGCCTCACATTGCTAAGACTCGAAGGGATGCAGGCCATGGTGCCAGCAAGAGCCCCTGCATGTTGGTGGCCCTGCGACCAACCAACATGGACCGTGAACGGGACAAGTTCTTCCAGTCTCATTACACCTACAATCCACAGTTTGAGTACCAGGAGCCCAGGCCCACAGCTGTGCTGGAGAAGTACTGTGAGGCCTCTGGACAGTTCATCCATCAGGTTAGTCCAGCTTTCCCTCCCACCCTAGTCCTCACCACCCAAGGGGCCTGTCCTAACCAGCTGCTGTGGCCCTGTGTACAGGCAGTTGGCATCATTGAAGCTGTCCTGGAGAAGTTTGGTACCTATGAACACTTTGAGGCTACCACCGGGGGCCAGCTGCTGACCAAGTGCCAGATTTGGTCCATTGTGCGCAAATATATGCAGAAGGAGGGCTGTGCTGGGGAGGTGAGCTTGCCCTACCTGCAGAGCCCCTGTTCTTCATGCCCCAAATCTGGCTGCCTAGTGGGCTGTCCCAGGCCCAGTGCCATGTCTGGCCAGACAAATCCCTGCCCCTGCCCAAATAAGGTGGGAGCTGGCTCTGAGCAGGGTTCATGAAGGATGGGTGTCCTGGCCTAGTGTCCAGCCTGGCTGACCTGTGGCATAAGTAGGTCCATCTGCACACTGGCCCCAGGGCTGGTTCAGAGCATTGGCTCAGGGCATTGCCATCTGCAGGTTGTGGTGCAGCTGAGTGAGGACCTGCTGTCCCAGGCAGTGATGATGGTGGAGAACAGCCGCCCCACACTGGCCATCAACCTGACTGGAGCCCGCCAGTATTGGTTGGAGGGCATGCTGCGGCACGAGATAGGTCAGGGTGTGGGCAGGTGGGTGGGTGGGTGGGAAGGGATGAAAGGGGGTTGGGAGCTGGAGGGGTCAGTGAGGGGCCCCAGTAACCCCCCTTTGTTTCTCCCCTTTCCCTCCGGAGGACGGGCCCTTTCCCTTCGTGAGCAGCTACCTCCTCCCTCTCGCTCACAGAGGTAGGCCAGAACATGCCTGCCCACTCTGGGCTCACCCTCATCTTTTGCTCCTTTAGAGTATCTTTTTCTCTCCCCACTCCCTCTCTGATTTCCCCTGACAGTGGGGGCAAGGCTGGGAGGCCCCAACAGGCCAGAGGGAGAGAGCCCTGAGGGTCCCACCAGGCTGGCCAACATGCGGCCCGTAGGGTGGGTGGAAGGCCAAATCGTGGGAACGGACTTGGCCTGAGGACACACAGCGCCTGGTTAGGAGGGGACAGGCCAGGCTGGGAAGGAGGGCACAAGACATTAACCACTATTCCTTTCTATCTGTCCCTCCTCTTCAAGAATCCTGTTGCTTTGGGCAAGAGGTGGTTTTTGCTGGGGCATCAGCACAACTGTCAAAATGATATGGGCACTCGGGATGTTGGGACAGGGTGGTGTGTGTGTTCCTTGTCTCCGGGAGGGCTGGGCGGTGTAAGTTTGGGAGAGTTTGTGTGCATGTGTGTGTTTGTGTGTGTGTGTTGGGGGGGCCTGGACGGGTGGGGGAGGATTCATGCATGTGAGCCTCTGTGGGTACTAGGTTCACCTGAGGAGGGTCTTAGCGCTGCCTGGGGTTGGTCTGGGGCTGGGGGAGAATTTGTGTGAGAGCCTGAGTTTGGGATCGTGAGGACACAAGAGTCACGGGTAGAAGTCCAGCCAGAAGTCTGGCTGGGTGGAGCAGGGCACAGGCTGGGCCGGGCAGATGGGTCCCCCGGACGCCCCGCCCAGCGCCGCCTCCCTTCCCGCAGGCACCCACTACCTGCGGGGCGTGAACAACGCGCAGCAGCCGTGGCACAACGCCGAGGGCCGGCTGCGGTACGGGCTGCGGCCGGCTAACCCCACGGAGGAGGGCCTGGCCAGCCTGCACAGTGTCCTGTTCCGCAAGCAGCCGTTCCTGTGGCGCGCCGCGCTGCTCTACTACACCATCCACCGCGCCGCGCGCATGTCCTTCCGGCAGCTCTTCCAGGACCTGGCGCGCTACGTGCAGGACGCGGACGTGCGCTGGGAGTACTGCGTGCGCGCCAAGCGCGGCCAGACAGACACCTCGAAGCCGGGTGGGCGCCCGCGAGGGGATGCGCCCTGGGCAGGGCGGGGCTGGGGGGGGGCTTCGCGGCGGCGGCCAGGGGCTCACAGCCCTCCCGTGCTCCCAGGCTGCTTCAGCAAGGACCAGGTGTACCTGGACGGCATCGTGCACATTCTGCGACACCGCCAGACCATCGATTTCCCGCTGCTGACCTCGCTGGGCAAGGTGAGAGGCTGCAGACCCTCCCAGGTCCCAGCCAGCTGTCCCCCTTGCCGCGGTGTTCCCTGGGCCTCTGATTGGTGCTACGCTGAGGGCTGGGTGCCGGGTGCCAGGCCTCTCTGGGTGGGGGCAGTGCGGATGGAGGTGAGTCCATTTGAAATGATGGTCTGGCAGCCAAAAGCAGGTGTTTAAACCAGCCTGTAGGTGTGTGTAGATACTGCATCTCAAGGCACAATCCGGAAGGCCTGGGGAAGGACGCTGGAGAAATGGCCAATGCAGGTCCCTGGCACTGGCATTAGTGCCAGGCTGAGGAAAGTGGACCTCATTGGAAGCAATGGGGAGTGGGAGGAGCTTTAAGCAGAGTAGTGGCTCAGATGTTTGCTTTCAAAGGTTCCCTCTGGATGTTATGTGGGGGGTGGATTGGAGAGAGGCCTAGAGAAGGGGGTGCAGGGGCGAGGGGAGGAGGCCTTTCTAATCACTCCGGCAGAATTGATGGTGGCCTGGCCCACCCAGGCAGTGGCCATGCATTTGGAAAGGAAGGGACCGGGTGGAGAGTGCTTCAGACAGTGGAATCCTTTTAACTCAGTGACCACCCTGAGTGGAAGGGTGAGAGTCCAGGCCTCCTCTACCCAGAATCTGACCTGGGTGACTGTGAAGAGGGTGGGGCTGGTATAAGCTGGCATCCAGGAGGTTACTGTTGGATACTCAGGGGACAGTGTTAAGGAGGCAGTTGGATAGGCATATTTGGAGGTGAGGGAAGAGCTGGGCTGCAGAGTGGAGTGGGGGTATAGGGCACAGATGATAATAGAAGGTGTTGAAAGAGCAAAGACCTAGAACTGAGCCTAGAGGTAGGAAACATTGGGAGTGAATCAGGAGGAGAAAGGAAGGAGTCCCAGGAGCAAAGGGCAGTTTGCCACAAGTAGTGAGCTGGGACCAGCTACCTAAATGCCAGGGGACTCTGCCTGCCCCTGAGGCCCAGCTCCCTCCCTGCAGGTGTCCTATGAGGATGTGGACCACTTGCGGCCCCATGGGGTGCTGGATAATACCCGGGTGCCCCACTTCATGCATGACTTGACACGCTACCGGCAGCAGCTGGAGCACATCATGGCCACCAACCGGCTGGATGAGGCGGAGCTGGGCCGCCTGCTGCCGGACTGATGTTGGTTGAGGGCTCCAGATCGGCCCCCAGAACATGAAGCTGTCTGCTCTGTGCTTCCATGGCCTGGGTGTTTCTTGGGGGCATTGGGAGGGCAGGAGCATTCCATGAGGAGGAGCTGGCAACATCAGAGGGTTCCTGTCCCTTGCTAGCCTCCCTGGGGCCCAGCATGTTAGGCAAACCGAGTGGCCCTTCTGCCTCCAGCTCTCTGTTGAACAGAGGGGAGGCCTGCGGGCAGGAGGGGAGCTGAGCATCGATGGGGATGGGGGGAGGTTTGGGAGTAGAAGCTTGTTCTTGCATGGAATGGTTTGGGGTGTCCAGGTCCTCCAGTCTCTCCCTTCCCCCACCTGGCCCCTTGGTGCTCCTTCAGCATTCGTGCTGTCTACCTCTCACTGGGTCCTGGTGGGGGTTGGGATCCCTTCTCCTGGGGTGACTGCCTAAGCCTGGCTTCACACAGGCTCAAGGGGCTGGGGTCCTGGTCCGACTGGGGTGTTGGGCTGTGCTTTCCAGCATTTTGCCTCTCCCCCCAAGTATGGTCCTGTATTTATTCCCTATGTATGTGCTCTACTTCCTTGGGCTGGGAGGCAGCAGCTCCTGAAGGTTTGATGGAGAGGACAGGACACTCCTGGAAGGCACCGATTTTCCTAGCCCCACTCTCATTTTACACACATACACACACGTGCACACACACAGTACAGGCCATGTGAGTGAAGCCCAAGAGCTCACCTGGCCCTACCCTCATGCCCTCCACTGGCCTCTGCTGTTCTTTTCTTCATCCACAAGCTCACAGCTGGTCTCCGGCAGAGGCTGGCATAGCCTGGGAGCAGCCACAACCAAGCCCGAGGGGCAGGCCCCCACGGCCCAAGACCCTCCTGGTCCAGGAGAGGTGCAAGGGTGGTTGTTGCTTCCAGTTTCACTTCAGACTTAGCTGTGCCAGTGACCTGGTGCCATTCCTACCCTTGGCCTTAGTTTTCCCATCTGTAAAACTCAGAAATTCGGTTGGAAAGTCTTTATTCAGTTAGCCAGTGAGTATGTATAGAGCGCCTTGTGTGTGCTAGTTACTAACTAGTCGGAACCTTCACTGAGCCCCCAGTCCGGAGAGAAGCCAGACAATTAAAACAGTAAAGACAGTGATGTGTGTGGCCTCTGTTTACCCAAGGTCTCATCCCATTCCCCTTTTCTAATCTCACTTCCTAAGGCTGTGAGCTCTAAGCCCTCCCTAAGTGGAGAAAAGCCACCCTTCCCTTGCTCTGTGCATCAAGCCTAGGGGAGTTGGGCAGGTGCCTACACAGATGCCCAGATGGTTCATAAGTGGAAAGGGCAGTGTAGCAGGCGTCAGGCTCTTGTCCTATTAGGGGCCTTGTTCTGGGGTCTCCAGGGTGCAACTTGGGTTACTGGGGGACTGGGCGGTGGGTGTGGGGAGGCACAGGGCTGCCTAGGTCCCAGGGACTCAGGCACGCACGCACCCAAAGTTCCTGGGCAAACAGCCAGAATCGTAGAGAGAGCCCAGGCCCAGGCCAACCCTCCAGAGTTTATTCACTTCCAGCGGTACTGGGCTGGACGAAGCCTCGGTGGCATCCCATCCAGCTCCGGCAGGATCCCGGGTCCTATCCAGCTTGGGCAGGGAACAGCCGGTCCGCACTCTGGTCTTCAGGAATCTAGAGATGATGGGGGCGGTGGACAGTGAGGTGGAGCCCACCCTCCGCTTCCCAGGCCATGCTCTCCCGCCAAACGCGCATGGGATTTGGGCAGGCTCACACCTTCGGACTCGTCCCCCTCTTCAAAGTCAGGCTCGGGCTCCGGCTCTGGCTCCGGTTCTGGTTCTGGCTCCGGTTCTGGTTCTGCCTCCGGCTCTGGTTCCGGATCCATTTCGGGCTCCGGCTCTGGCTCAGCCCCTTCAGAGGCCTCAGCTTCCAGCTCTGGCTCTGGCTCCTCTGGGGTCCCGGACTGCACCGCCTCGGAGCCCTCAGGGCCCCCGGCCTCGTCGGTGTCTGAAGCTCTGGGCAGCCCGGGGCATGCGGTCCCCGAGCCAGGTGCCTCGGGCGCCCAATGGCCTGGGCACGGAGGGTCATAGCTACGGTCCCGGTAGCCTGGGGAGGAAGTGGGAGTGACTCAGGCTCAATTTACCCACCTGCGGTTTCCTCCGCACACACCCGCCTTGCTCCAGGGGAGACGACCGCACCTCCCTCCGCTCAGCCTTCGCTCCGCCCCGGGCACGCCCCGCTCCCACCTAGGCCCCGCCCGCCCGCGCTCACCCGGGCCCACGTGCTGCCAGTCCCAGGCGGGGTCCGGCGCGCGCACTGTGTGCTGAGCACAGCGCAGCAGCTCCTGGCAAGCGGCCTCGCCCTTGCCCTGCACCAGCAGCAGCAGGCGGCGCACCCTGCGCTCGGCATCAGGCAGTGCATCCAACGCCTCGTACTCGGGCCCGGTGAGCACGCCCCGCGCCAGCAGCGCGTCCAGCAGCAGCCCCGAGTCCGCCTGCAGCGTCTCCACCAGGCGCTTCCGCTCGCGGTCGATTGTCTCTGACGGCCGCTCCTGCGCGTTGCCCATGGTCAGGGCTGCACGGGAGAGTGGGAGAGAAGTATCAGGGGACCGGAGCCACTCTCTCCTAGGGCCCCAGTGAACACCCGGGGCTGGGGTCTAAGTTCACCTTGACCCCAGTGGCCAGTCGGTTCCGCAGCACAGGACCTTGAGGCCTCCGCACGGTACTGCTGTCCTCTTGCCCCTCCGGCCGCTTCTGTCCTGTCTCCTCAGGCTCCTCCTCCTGTCCCTAAACGTCAGCTGTGGCTCTCCTCCCCTATGCGCTCCCCTAGGACTCCCATCTACTCTCTGACTGCTCTCCCTAACCAGGACCCCCTCCTGAGCCCCAGCCACGGGCAAATCCCGAGACCAGCTCAGACCCAGTTTATCCAAACTAACCACTTTTTCTTTCCCAAATCTGCTTCCTTAGCCCCAGCATGCAGAAAAACCTAGGATTGATCCTGCTACCCCCACCTGCTTGCCCTCAAATCTTTTCCAGTGTGTCTGTGTTTCTCTCACCATCCTCACCACTGACTTTGATCTTTTACCTCCTGCCTGGACCCTGCACCGTCCCAGATTAGGGTTTCCTGCCACCACACTCTGCCCTCTAGTCCCCTCTACACCCAGAGCACAGAGTTGAGAGCCTTCCCCTGCTTCTCTCTCCTTACCCTAACTCTGAGGTCCAACTTTCCACTACAAGCTCTAGCCCTGCACCCTCTCACCAATGCCAGTACTATGTTGCAACCCCAACCTGGTCTCATGGCTTTTCCTTGTTCCATGATACCTGAGCAGAGATATCTGAATCTTTTTGAGTCCTACCTCTGACCAAAATCTCCTGACATCACCTGAGACCCAGCTGTACCCCCACTGAGCCTCCTTGCTGGTGGGGACTCTCTGCAGAGTTTCCCAATGCAGAATTGGGCATCACCTGACATACTGTTTTTCTTCCATTAATTTCCCCATTTTGAGAGACTGTCTTCACCAAACAGCACTATTACTTATTAGGTAGAATATAATCTCCTTTGTCCATTTATTACCAACCAAGGATCATGGCCCATCCCCTTGGGTGGCCTAACCATCCAGCAAGACCCTGGAGATTCAGTGAATTTCCATGAGCTCCTTCCTTTCAAACCCACTGTTGTCACATATGTTGTGTAACAGTCCCTCTGAGTCCCTCTCACTCCCATCCTACCACCCCCATCGCATAGTGACCTGACAACTCTCTGGAGTAGGGTTTACTGTACCTATTTTACAGAAGAGGAGACAGGCTCAGAGAGACCAAGTGGTAGAACTGGAATCTAGCTTGCTCCAGCCTGAACTGTAAGGGGGTCTCCTGTCTAGCAGAATGTCTATTCCCCTCCCCACCCCTACTGCCCATCAGAGAACCCAAACTATGCGGTCCGATAACTCCTGCCACCTCCCACCACCCTGGACGGCCAGGCTCTTCCCCACTTCCCTTCACCACTCAGTGCCGTGAGAACTCCATGTGTCCCTGGCACCTCAGAGCCTTTGTTGATGCTGTTCCCTAAGCCTGGAATATTCTGCCCCTGCCTGCACTGTGTGGGCCCATCCTCCACAGTCAAATGTTCCCTTGTCCACACCAACGCCTAAGTGTCCAAAAGGCAGGGGGTTGCTTCTTCTCTGCACCCCAGTGAACAACATATACCCCTCACTACTGCATCACCTGACATCACTGCACTGTGTATGCGGGCCCTCTGCTCTCTTCAGCTAAGTCTGCTGCAGAGTGTCCCTCCAGTCATGGGGCAGGGGAAGAAAGAGGGGAGCAGCACCTACTATGGACAGACACAGGGGGGAAAGGCGCAGGTTGGATTGCCCCCTCCTCGCTCACTCCTGCCATTACCTCAAGTCCTGCCCTTTGTCCTGTCTGGCGGGTAGAGACCCTGGCTGGCCAGGGCCTTCCCTTTGAGGCTGTCATTAGCTCTAAAGTGATCACTGAACTTATGTCGCGGCCAGTCTTTCAGGGTCACAGGCCAGATTCTTCCTAGAGAGCCAGGTGGCGAGGCGTGGAGCCGGTCCCGGCCCCTATCCCCACCTCGCTGCGCGGGCTCTCTATCCCGGAGCGAGGGTCGCGGGAAACTGCGGGAGCCTTTGCGCATGTGCGACCGCCTGGTTACCCTCCCCTCCCCTCCACCGGGTCCTAGAGCTTGAGAGTCCTGCGGGAGGGCGGGGCTCACAGACCTCCGAGCGCTGCTGCTGGTGGCGCGGCGCTGATTCCGCCCAATCTCGGTTTCCTTTCCCTCCCTCTGTCGGGTGGAGTGGGGCTCCGGGTTCGGCCCGTTTCGGGCGGCCCCACTCACGGGTCGAGCCTCTGTGGGGCGGGAGATGACGGTGCAGAAAAGGGCTGGGCATGGTGGGGGTGGATGCAGCAGCTGCGACAGGGGCGGGGCGGCCAGGGCTGCCGGGAGTGGGGGTGGGGGTGGGGGTTCTTCCCGGGGCACTGGGAGCCAGGCCACGGAGGCCGTGCACTAGCTGGGGACGAGCACGTAGGCCGCTTCCCTCCCCACCCGGGGTGCACCCAGCGATGAGTCAGGGAGGGGGCAGTCCGGCCCGCTGCCTCACTCGTCTGGCACCCAATCTGGGCCTGCTGATTCCCAGGTGCTTTACGTCTGTCATCTGGTCGACCCCTCCTCTTTGCCTGTCACAGATGAAGCTCAGAGAAGGAAGCAACTTACCCAGGATAACAGAGCGCATGATTGCGGAGCTGGGTGTGACCCGGCGGCCCCCGCTTCCCAGAGGTTGCAGTGACCACTCTCCAGCGCTAGATCCGGGCTTCAACTGGGGAGCTAGGCACCAGCTCCCCAAGCACCTCCACTCTCTAGGGGTTCTGCTATTAAAGCCCTAGGATCTGGACGCTTCTACATATGCAAAATCACCCGCCACCCATGACTCCAGTGATGCCTGGTCGATAAAGAAAAGAGACCAGAAACACAGAAAAAAATGCAGTTTATGTGCAGGGCTCGTCGGGGTAAAGGAGAGAGGCTGTTGAGTAGTGGGGGCTTCGCTCACCCCCCGCCAGGGGGCGCCAGGAAGCCAAGAAGAGTGTGAGCCGCCGACGGCTTCCTCTGCCCGCTGGCTTCAGAGGCCAGCGGTCTCAGGGGGAGGGACTGGCCGCCGGGCCCAAGTAGGAGGCCCGGCTCTCAGGGGCGCTGTAAATGGTTAAAGCCCCAGGCAGGCCAAGGGCTGGGCCTCCCAAAGCAGCCTGGACATCCAGCAGGAGTGGGGCCCCGAGCGTGGGGTCCTTCCCTAGGAGAAATGGGGCTGTGCTCAGCAGAGGGGAAAGGGTCCTCCTCCTTTCTTTAGGGAAGAAGAGTCCTGCCCGCCTGCCTTCTGCTCAGGATGAAACATCCATTCCATTCTCAACCTCCCCACTCTCAGCCAGTGGTGAGGGGGCAGGTGGCTCAAAGTAGCACTCTGCAGGACACTGAACTCAGGGGATGTCCTGCAAAACAGGAGCTGCCCAGCCCACACAATCAAGGTCCTAGACCAGTCTGTGGCCTCCTCAATCACCACAACCATTACCTGGGCCTGGAGAATTTAACCCCTTGACTGCCAGCTCAGGCTCACCCCTCTCTGGAACCAAGGGCTGCATCTGCGTGAGAGAACCCCCCCCCCCGGAAGCAGCTGGGGAGGGGGCCAAGGAGCTAAGGACAATCACTGGGGCAGTCATCAGACGTGGCTCTGGTTCACAGAGAACAGCCATGGACCAAAGGCTTGGTTCTTCAGCAACCCCAGGCCCTGCCCTCCTCCACCCTCTTCTTACCAGGGACAGCTCCATGTCCAAGTCCATCAGGGTCCATTCTCGCCCTTGGAGGCTGGGGCCCAGCACCTGAGGAGAGCTCTCGGTCAATGGTGCCCTCCCCAGGCTGCACGAACAGCTGGACCCCACCAGGTCTCCAGCCCCTGCCCCAGTGGAAGGGGTACTCACATCCAGGGGCCCTGCAGGCTCCACACTTTCTGGTGGGGGCCGAAGCAGCAGTGGAGGCAGCAGACTGTCTGGGCTTCGGTCCCCTCTCTCCAGGCCCAGAGGCCCCCTGTGTACAGAGAGCTGCTGTTGCCCTGCAGTGCCCACCCTACACGAGGTTTCCAAGGAACTGGATGTATCAAGATTGAAATTCCCCCAACATTTAGCAAATGCTTGGAGGACACCCCACCCCCCTAAGGGGCACTTAGAGAGTGCCCTTGCTTCCTAGCTGGGACCTGAGATTTGGGTTGTGGAGCTGGGGTCTTGAGACATGCCTCCTCCCTATCCAAGTGTCAATACCAGTGGTTCTTAAACTATTGTGTACTTTACAATCATCCCAGTGAACCCATTTGTAAAATGTAGATTCCTGAGCCTTTCCCCAGAGATACTGACCTGACTGGGACTTTTCACTTTCTAGGGGACTCTGACACTGGTGCTCCTTAGGGCACATGCTGAGATCAGATCAATGTTACAGATTCAAGTACCCAATGTCCCCCTCAGCCACCATGGGGCAGACACAGCTAGGAAGTGTTGTGGGCTGGCAAGTGCTGGTCTGTCTGCAAAAGTGGCCCATAGGGTTCACGGTCAGGAAAGGGCTCTGCTCACCTGTCAGCTATCTCCCTGGGGTCCCTTGGCTCAGGCTGTTGGGCACTCCTGGGCCCTTCAGGACTGAAGCTTCCTTTCCCTTCCAGGATGGCCTGCACCACAGCCACAGGCAGCGGTGGGGGGGCTGTCACGCAGAAGTCACACTCGTTTGGGGCCAGGGCCAGCCCGGCCTCGCCATCCCCCCCTGGACTGGCCGGCTCTTCTTTGAGCAGTGCCAGGCCCTTCTCCCTGCACCGGAGAAAAGCTTCAACCAGACCCTGACACTGACCTCTCCCCCTACCCCCACAGCCATCTGGGCTGCCTGGCCCTCCCCCAAAGGCTCCCCAGAGGGCAGCCCCTGTCCCCCTTACCTCCTGCCACCACTGGAGGGAGAAAGCCTGGTCCCTTCAGGGGATGGGGAGTCTTCTGGGATGTCAGAGATGATGGGGCCTCTGGGTCTGTGAGGGCTGAGGCCCAAGGTCGTCTCTGGGAGGGGCTGTAAGTAGAAGGCGAGGCCCAGCCCTTGGCCTCTTGGCACAGGGAGAGCCAGAACCCAATACACACACCTGGACCGGGTCTGAGAGAGAAAGTTTGAGGGAGGAGGCTCAGTCCACACTGGGGAGCCTGGATCTGGTTGAAGGGAAGGCTGGCTTCCATCTTTCCTTATTTTGGGGGAATGGGGAGAAGGGACAGGCCCTCCATAGGCCCAGCTATGCCCTGGGGAAGGGGTAAGAAAAACCTACCGACTGGATAAAGTAGGGGTCCTGCAGGAGGGCACCAGGTAGGGGGCAGGCATTGAATTTGGCAGGTGCTGGGCATGTGCTCCCTTCGTCCAGCATCAGGGACCTGTGCAGGGTGACCAGGGCACAGGCAGGTTCAGCCCCTATGCCCCTCAGCCTGCACTTCCCTCCCTCCCTCAGGCCCCAGCAGCCAAGTCAGCAGAGCTGAGGCCTGTTGCCAGGGCATCAGTCACATGCTGGAGGTGGAAGGGGCTCCCCCCAGAGATGGGGGCCCTTTGGGGGTAGGGAGGTGAGGGAGGGAGCATGGTTTCAGCCCCAGGCCCTCAGCTGCTGGGAAGCTTTGGGGGGGAGAGGGGAGGAATTTGGGGATAAGGGGTGGGAATTTGGGGATAAGGTCCTGGAACAGGAAGATCTGGGAGTGGGGGTACCTGGTGGTAGAATTCAGGGGAGAGGGGGGCAGTCCTAGATGGAGCCAGGGAGCCTGCAGTGCAGGGAGAGGAATGAGGATTCCTGGTGAAGGAGGTTCTGGAGGAGAAGGGGACCCTGCTGGGGACCTCTCTGGGGGAGGGTCTGGGACGTGGGGAAGTGGGTGAGAGCACCCCACCCCTCACTCACAGCTTCCTCTTGGCTCCCGCACTGCTGGGCCCCGCCTGAAGTGGCCCAAAGAGACACTGGATCAGCTGAAGAGAAAGCAAAGGGTTAATTCATACTTTGGGCCTTGCCTGCACCCTAGCAGGCAAGGGGTGGGTTGGCAGGCCTCAGTTGGGCGCTGGGGGCCTGGGCGGAGGGGTGGGGTGTGGAGAAGTGGTGAGGGGGGAGAAGCAAGAGAGGAACACCTTGCCGATGATCCGGTGCTGCTGACCGTGGCTCTGCCGCAGAGTCACCACCTCCCGCCACAAGATCTCGTTCTGCCTGCGGGAAGGGGTGGGAGGGTGCTGAGGCATCTGAGAGGTCGCCCAGTCACCGCCCCCCACAGAATGCCGGGGACACACGCGACCACCCCTTGATCATCCAACCTATAGAGACCAGGGTTCCACGGCGCGGCCCATTTGTCTGCGTGGAGGCGCCGAGGCCTGAGGGCGGAAGGGGCTGCCCAGAACCGCCGTGCCCTCTCACCCCAACCCCCCGCCCCGCCTTCCCGGGTCCCTCGTACTGCCTGAGCTCCCGCAGCCGCGCCTCGGTGCTCTCCTGCACGCCCCGCAAGGCCTGCACCTCGCCCAGCAGCCGGCCCAGGTCCTCCGGGCGCCAGCGGCCGTCGTCGCCCCGCAGCGCGGGCACCTGCGGGCGGGAGGCACTGTCGGGAGAGGGTCGCACAGAACAGGGCCGGCGGTCCCAACACCCCTGCTCCAGCTTGTTCCTTCCCGCAGGCCGCGCACACCTTGCGCCGCACGCGCTCCAGGAGCTGCTCGCGGCCGCGCACGAAGCTCGGGTGCTGGAACTCGACGTGGTCGCGCTCCGGCCGGAGCAGGCCGCCCTGCTCGATGCTCACCACCTTCCGAAAACCGTCTGGGGAGCGGGGCGTGGGGGCGTGAGTCGCCCCATCCCCAGCAACGGGTCACCCACGTCCCCTGCCCGCCGGCCCTGAGGACTCACACATGTTGAGCTGGCGCACAAAGCTCGCCATGTTGCTGTGCTTGAAATACTGGGGCAGCACTTCCTTGGCGAAGCGGCTCTGATCGCTGACGAGGAAACTGGTCCCGCTCTACCGAAAATGCCGCCCGCCCACCGTGCAGGCGGAGACCAGACGCCGTGAGCGGTGTCCGCCCACGGCCAGGCCCGCGCTCTGGCGCGCGCACACATACTCACACTCACTCTGGGGGCCCGGCTTGTCGCTTGTCTCTATATGGGACGAGGCCAGGCCACAACCGGCTCTGAGGCCTAGCCTGGGGCGACCACAGTGAGTCCCTACCCCCAGCCGGACCCACACTCGGTACTCGGTTCTCAGAAAGGAAGAGCAGAGGCCACCCGGATACCAGTCCAGGACGAGGCCCAGACCCGCGATGAGACCCTGAGCTGGAGCCAGCCCAGCCCTTTCCTTCTCCTGGCCTCTGTTTTCCGATCTGTGAGATGGGGTGGGGTGGGATCTCAATGACCTTGAGGATCCCTCAGGCTCTAGGGGTCCAGGGGGCTCCTAGCCCTTCCTCGGTGGCAGAGCAAGTCGCCTCACCCCCATCTCGAAACCCCCTCCAAGGTAAACTACCCTGGATGGCTGCATGGGCGTGCCACAGCCCAGTCCCAAGCGGGGGTTGGGTGGGCATGGATGTTCACTGACGTGGAGGGACCCGGGGGGTGGGGGGACCACTGGGGAAGTCAAGGGGCCCCAGCCCTCACCGGGCTCCAGCGGATCAGGTGGTCGGTGCCTGGGTCGCCCACCAGCGCCCATAGCTTGCCGAGGAAGGCAGGCACGGGGCTGGGGCCTGGCTCCGTGGGCAGAGCGGCTGGCGCTTCCTGCATGGTGCAGTCTCAGCCCGGCTCAGCGCTCGGGCCCGGCCGCTGCGGGCTGGTCAAAGCGGCGGAAAGTGCTGCGTTTGCCGCCTGCTCGGCCCTACTCCGCCCCCAGGCGCAGGGTCAGGCGGGGGCCACGTGCGAACCCGCTGGGCGGGGCTCGGACAGCGGCCGCGGCACCAGCAGACAGAAAGGGCTGGCTGGATCCGATGTGTGCGGAGTGGAGGGGTGGGGTGTGGAGGGAGACCTGAGTTCGAGTCCCACCTTTCTCAGTCCGTTTCTTCCTTTGTTTTTAGGGAGAAATCGCCCGTGTGCACCCTGGTGTGGGCTGGGAAAGTCCTGGAGGGCAATGGCCGTGGGCACAGTGAAGCCCCGGTAGGGCGGGCAGTTTGGATGGGTCGGGCGGGAAGCTTGCCCCCTTACCGCCAAACCCTGGAAGGTAGTCTTTCCAAGGGTGCGGAGTGCCCCGCCCCTGGGCCCCGCAGCCTCCTTGATACAACGGACCTTGAAGAGACCTCCCACCTCTGCCAGGATGGCAGGCACCTCTGACCTCTATGTGTTCCCTGTCCTCCCGCTTCAGAGCCGATCCCGCTTTGCACAGGACACAGAAACACTGTAGAATTTGTTTATTTCACACTCATCCCTGATGCCCAGCCCGCATCTGTGCCCTCCCAGCCCCCGCGCCGGGACGCGGAGCCGGCGCAGAGTCCGCTGAGTGGTGGGGGTGGGGGTGACGCAGTGCGGTCCGGGCCATGACCCAGCGGGCGGGCGGGCGGGGGTCTGTAGCGGTTGCGAACACCGAGTGGACTCAGGGCGCCCCGGACTGGTCCCGACGCCATTCCACAGTTCCCAATCCCGGAGAGGCACAGGAGCCAACAATGCCGAAGAAAGGGGCTAGCAGTTGGGGCGGCCTGGGCACCCCCATCTTGCATCTCAAAGGCCTCACGTCTGCGGGGGAGGGAGGGGCTGGCGGATTACGCCACGAGCGTGGGCCGCCAGGGATGGGGCTCTCGCGTCAGTTTGAGCGTGTAGGTGCGCAGGCGCGGGCAGTGCGCGCGGAAGGCGTCCCGCACGGAGGGTCTCACCACGCAGAAGCAGTGCACCTCGGTGAGGCCCGCGCAGCGCGCCGCCAGCTCCTCCAGCGCCTCGTCCAGCTCGGCGGAAGCGGGGGCGCGCACCTCGAGCGCGCGCAGGGTTGTGGCATAGTGGCGCGCCGCGAAGCGAACTGGGCCTACGGTGTCACCGGAGACATTGAGGCGCAGCGCAGCCACGGGCACTGCTGGCTGCAGGACGCGCGTCACGCTATCTTCTGGCAGCGCAGGCTCTAGCTCCAGCTCCACCGCCAGCCCAGGGTGGCGACGGCGCAACTCGGTCCAGGCTTCATTGGGCAGGGGGGACGCGCGTGCATCTTCAGGGCACGCGCACCGCAGGGCTAGGAGCACTAACGGCGCGCGGTCTGGCGCGGCCAGCACCTCCAGGGCGGCGCGCGACAGACTGGCTAGGTGCAGGCCGAGGGCGCGCAGGCGCGGGCAGGCCTCCAGTAGCTTGAGCACCGAGCCTGGTCCCACGCTGCCCACCAGCGTACCGTTGTCCAGGAAAAGGCTGTGGAGCTCGGGGCAGTTGCGAGCTGCCTGCAGCACCAGCGCGTCGTCCAGTGTGAAGGGCAAGCGCCGCAGGTCGAGGTGGCGCAGCTGGCGGGCGGCCCTGCAGACTGCGTGCACAGCATCCAGGACGTCGCGGCCCGCGTCGAAGAGCGGCTTTTCTCCGCGGCACTCCAGGCGCAGGCCTCGAAGTCCCGGGGCACGTCCCGCCAGCGCCATCAGCAGCTCAGTGGCCGTCTGGCGACTCGCCTTCCTGGATGGTTCAAATTCCAGCCGTAGGTTGCGAACATGGTCCAGGCAGTCGGACATATGTGGCGGCAGCATATCTTCCTTCTCACAGTCGCAACTTGGGTTAGAGCGGGGTGAAAAAGGCATTGGCGGCATCCCCGCAACCGGGAGAGAATCTTCTACCCACTCACCCCTCAGCTGGGGTTCCAGTTGCCGTCCCAGTTCCAGCCCAGCCACCAGACCATGCCTATTGCCCCAAGGCAGCTGCTGGCAGTGGGCGGGACCTCCCATCCTATCCCTTTAGAAGACTTTAGTTGAAACCCTGGCGTGGAAAGCCAATGATATTTTAGGAACTGGGGTTTCTCAGCGGCCTCTAACTAAGGACTTGAGGCATGACCTCCCTAGCTTAGTGACCTCTGAAAGGTGATTAATCTCTCTGCCACAGTTTCTTATCTGTGCAATAGAGATAACAATACTACCAATCACACAAGGCTTTGTGAGGATTAGATGAGTTAGTAGAGGTAAGGCACTTAAAAACAGTGGTCGGTACATAGTAGGTGGTTAATAAACGTTACTAATTATGTTTTTTAATGTGGGAGAATCACTGAATCTCCTGAACCCCCAGCTCCACAGAGAGAGCAAGGAAGCGAATGGAGGCAGGAAGCAGGGGAGAGGAGCAGGCTCACCTGATGTTGGTGTCCTGCCACACAGCGCTGCAGGTGGCAGCCGCAGCCCAGGCCCTGCAGACCCTGGCAGCAGCAGCACGGTCCCTCAGGGGCAAGTATTGAAAGATGGACACTAGCATCTCCTCTGGCAGTTGCCCTCTAGGCTCAGCCATGGCCCAGCTTGGGTGGGGGCTCCGAGGCTCCCAAGTGCTCTGGCCTGGAGAAAGAAAGTTGTCCCTGGGCTCAGGAAGGCCCAAAGTGTTGAGGGAACACTGGAGCCTGGGTGTACAAATGCTTGTGTCCTAGGAGCTGCTACATTTGTTTATAGAGCTCAGCGCAAAATGAAAATGTGGGGGAACCCTGTTCACAACATTAGTAAGAATTTCAAGATGGTGACAGCAGAGCTTTTAATCAAGTATGGAGCCATGTGTTGGGCCCTAGCCGACTGCACAGGTCTCAGGCCCATGAAGTTGGCTTGGCCCTGGATGCCAAAGGTTTCTGGTTTTCCTCTGAACTACTTTCTCATCTGTTGAACGAATCCACATTTTATGCTCTGTTATAAGGAATGGCAACCACCACCTATGTGTCAGGCTGCAAAAGTCTTTCCTGGGGTGGCTGGCAGGTGGCTGGGGAGGCCCTGGCTTGGGACAACGCCTCCACACCCCCAGCTCAAAGAACCCATCTACCCCCACCTCTGCACATACACACTCAGAGCCGCCCAGCCGGGATCACTGAGCTACTTCCTGCCCAACTTCGACCGTAAGGACTGGGCCCAAGTCCGGAACTCAGAGCCTCAGATGGCGTGGGCCATCCGAAAACCCAGACATTTTTCACAATACAGATTTCACGGTCCCACGTGCTAAATCAGGCTCTCTGGAAAGGTGAACGCCGAGGAATCTGCATTTCAGCAAGCTCCGGTGACTCTCAGGCTGTAAGTTGAAAAAAATCCATTCTTTTTTTTTTTTTTAAGACAGTCTCACTCTGTTGCCCAGGCTAGAGTGCCGTGGCATCAGCCTAGCTCACAGCAACCTCGATCTCCTGGGCTTAGGAGATCCTTCTGCCTCTGCCTCCTGAGTAGCTGGGACTACAGGGATGCGCCACCAATACCCGCTAATTTTTTCTATATATTTTTAGTTGGCCAATTAATTTCTTTCTATTTTTAGTAGACAGGTCTCGCTCTTGCTCTTGCTCAGGCTGGTTTCGAACTCCTGACCTTGAGCAATCCGCCCGCCTCGGCCTCCCAGAGAGCTAGGATTACAGGCGTGAGCCACCGCGCCCGGCGAAAAACCCCATTCTAACACCCCCATTCACTAGAGAGTGACTACAAGGTTAAAAAGGCGGGAGTGTGAGTGAAGACTTAATTGTCAGGGACCACGAGCCAATCAGGAAGGGGCGCGGGCGGGGCAAAGCTGGATCCGCCCAGAGAGGGGAGGTTCCTTCCCGGCCTCCGCCTAGCCGTGGGGATGTCCCAGGTGCTTCCTAAGACAGCCCCACAGGATGCGGAAAAGCTTGGGGTTCTGGGGCCTGACGACTCTGGCGCCTGAGGAGCTCAAGGTTCAAGTTCTGACTGTGACCCATGAGCAGCCAGGGCTCCCGCTGGGCAGTTTATATCCGGCTGGAACTCTGCAGACCCACCCTGGAGCGCAGCTTTTAGGGAGGGACGGGGTTGTGGGAGACCGTGCGTCCTCTTTGAAGCTGCCAATTTTGTTATAAGATGCCCGAAGGTTTGCGTGCACATTTCACTCCACTACCCAGTTAATCTTCCCAATCTTCCAGGCTGATGGTCTCTCCTGGAATTTGTTCCACGTGTTTCCTGGGACTTCCGATACTCTCGGCCTAGCTCGTACCTCGGATCCACTGGCACCCGGTTTTGAGTATCCAGGAGTAGCAGAGATCAGAGATCACCAAGCGGATCTCCAGGGAGCACCAGAAAATTCTGGTCTCCAGAGGGCGCCCCCTTGTCGACCCGTCCGTTCCCCGCTGGAGGAAGCCTGGCAGCTCTCACTCTGAGGCCCTCCGGCCTCTTAAGAACCGCTAGTCCCCACACTCCCTCCCCGAGGGCAGTTCTTCCTGCCGTCTAACCTCGGGTGCCAGTGTCTTACCTGCTTTAGGGGACCAGGTGGGATTTGCCCGGGGCTGGGACTGGCCGGCCGCAGAGGGCAGGGGGCGGGAAGGAGCCGCCCCGAGCCCGAGGGGCGGAACGCGCGGGCGGACCGGGCGCTCGGGCTGGGGCACCGCCCCGCGCCTCCGCGCACACCCGGAAGCGGCGCGAGTGGAGCGGCGCCTGGCAGGCGTGGGAACCCAGGCCTGGGCCGAGGTGGCCAGGTTAGTGCAGAGGGTGGGTGGCCTCCCCGGTGCAGACACCCGTGGCTGCCCCAGCCAGCTGGCGGCAGCGGCCTATTGGGCTATTTCTGTGGGAGGCGGGGGGTGGGTAGGGGACTTGGCCCCCACAGGTTCCTTGTCCCAGGTAAGGGCTTTCGAGGCGGCGGGTAGGGCCCTGCCGGTGGGAGGGCAGGGGAAGGGCGGCCGGGCTGGTTCTGAACCGTGCTGTGATTGGAGACCCCTTGCCTGCCCTAGCCGATCTCATGTTCGAAACCCCAGCTTGAGGGTGGGCTAGTAGGAACCAGGGGAGCCTGAGAGCTCAGGAGCAGCGCGGCAGAATAGGCGGGCGCGCCGGGCTGGTCGCAGGGAGTGGCCACGCCCGCAGGCCCAGCCAGAGGTGGGGCTGGCACGGGCCGGTTATGTGTTAGTGGGGCGCCGTGCCTGGTTCGCCCGGGCAGTAGGGGTAGATATTCCGAGGTCGGTACCCAAGTATCGCACATAGTCTCCGCCCACTAAGCGTTCTCTGGACCCAATCTAGAAGCCTTAGCCCCTCCCAAAGAGGGGCGGACTCTGGGTGGGTGGGGCTCGGGGCTTCCCGAGGAGGGGCCCCGTTGAAGGACACGTAGGAAGGAGTGTCCAAGGGAATGACTGGAGACTAGGGCCGCCTAAACTGAGCTCTCGACCTCCGGCCGGTAGACTTCCCCATTTGTCGCATACTAGTGTGATGGAGCAACCCCCATCTCCAGGGTGCCAGTACTCCCTGGCCAGCCTGATGGGCAGACGCTGGTCCCATTTGGTCCCCACTTCTGTACCATGGGGTGAGACCACATCCATCGAGTCATTACTCCTAAGTTGGGGGGCCAGGGGAGGTTCCCACTCTCTCCTCCAAGCCACTGTCCAAGGGCCCCTGGCTTTTCTTACCTCCTTGGCTGGCTCACTGCTGCTCTTGTTCATATTTGTCACCTGCAGAGTTTCACTCCATTTTTTTTTTAAAGAGAGACAAATTTATTTGCTTTTTAAAATTTTTTGTTTTTGGAGACAGTCTCAAAAAAAAAAAAAAAAAGAGCAGTGGCATCATCATAGTTCACTGCAACTTCAAACTCCTGGGCACAAGTGATTCTCCTGCCTCAGCCTCCCGAGTGGCTAGGAACTACAGGTGCACACCAACATGCCCGGCTAATTTTTTGTAGAGACAGGGTCTTGCTTGCACTGGTCTTGAACTCTTGACCTCAAGGGATCCTTGTGCACCTTTCCACCTCCACCTCTCAGAGTTCTGGGATTACAGGTCTGAGGCACTGCACCTAGTCTAGGACTAGGTTTTTGTCAGAAGATGGAGGGAGGAGTTACTAGTGCCAAGGGACCCTGGCTCTATCTGGACAGGGAAGGAATCTGTAGTAGAACAATTTGAGTTGGATAAGACAAGAGCCCAACTCTAAGAGCTTTATAACAAAAAGGAATGATTTAATTCATATAACTGAAAATTCCAGGGTACAATGGCTTTAGGGACAGCCGGATCCAGGGCCATAACATGGTTAGGAGTGCATCTCTATCTCTTGGCTCTGTTTCTTTCTGTGTCTGACTCACTCTCAATCAGATTATTCCCAAGCACTGGCAGAGGAGACCTATCCCTTCCCTCCATTTCAACCCCCAGGGAAGAGAAATTAGTGCCTCTTTCCTATTGGTCCAGTCAGAGTTGCAGGGTTGATTCTCATTGGCCCAACTTGAACTAGCCATTGCAAGAGTATGAATAGAATATGCAGATTGGCCAAACCTGGTGCATATGCCCAGACCTGGAGCTAGGGAGTAGGGTACAGGCACATGGATTGAGAAGAGAAAGGAGGGAAGTCCCCAAAGGTAAGTCAAGGTTTGGGGGAAATCTGGATAGATGCAAACTACAGGTGTCCTTTGAATGAAGCCAGTAGGTTCAGTGGGAATGCAGGTGAAAAAACCTAACGGTGGGGTGGGGGCCCCCAGTGATACTGGGGGCTCAAGTTCAGGACATGGTTCTGGTTGGCTTTGGGGCATGGGCACCATCCAGAATGAAAATGTCTACTGTCAGCTTTGGTAAGAACGACTCACTGGCCTGAGGAGGAGGCAGAGAGGCCCCACTGCAGGATCTACCTCTGCTTTCCCTCCACTGTGACCCTGAGCTCTTTCTCTGAGAAGGCATTGGAGTGACAGTCCTCACTGCAAGTTTGGAATGGGAGGGCTCTGTGCAGAACTAGAGGCACGAGAGGCTGCCTGTGAGATGGTGAACTCTTGTTCTGCGTGTGCCAGCTAGTGAAGCCTACCGTGGAGGCGACAGCTGAGCCACATGGGACTAGACAATTGTCTCCAGGTCTGGGGGATGACCTGGATGCCTGTCTGCATCTCCAGGAGGTGAGATGGCAGCTGGGCAAAATGGGAATGAAGAGTGGGTGGGCAGCGCGTACCTGTTTGTGGAGTCCTCGCTGGAGAAGGTGGTCCTGTCGGATGCCTACGCCCACCCACAACAGAAGGTGGCAGTGTACAGGGCTCTTCAGACTGCATTGGCAGGTGCGTGGGTGGGTGGGCATGTGGAGAGGAAGAGGTGACCTGGGGCCTTTTGTAGACAGGGCTGGGACTGAGGGTCCAGGTCCTTGGTGAGCCTGGGCTTAGGGAAAAGATTTGGCAGGCGGTGGGGGTGGGGTAGGGAAGGGGGGCAGAAGACCCCAGCTGTGTAGGCTCTTTTTTCTCTGCTTATGGCATGTGTGACCTTGAGTGTAGACATGTGTCCCCGTGTCTGTGTATGCTTTACCTACTTGTGCACTGTCTCCCCGCTTGATGACTCCCCACCCCAGACCAGTTGGCTCACTCCTTCCCATTAATTGTGTATCTTTCTCTCCTCTTTTCCTCTCTCACTGCAGCACTTCTTGCCCAAGACCCCTCCCCAGAACCTACCCTTCCAGGTCCCCCTTTCCCATCTCAGGGCAGAGGCCACAGGCGGCTGAAGCGGGTTGGGGTATCTGTTCCTGGCCCCAGAGCAGCAAGAGCCCCTCTCCTTCCTGGGCAGCGGGAGCCGCACTTGGTGGAGGCCGAAGACTTGAGACCTCCCGCCCCTCCTCCGCCCTGCTGGCTGCCTGCCCAGGCGGCTAGGCTGCCGAGGGCACACGCCCCTTTCTGTGCTGCTAAGCCCCTGCCCTTTGCCTTCCCTCATGTGGGGTGTCAGAGATGGGGTTAAGAGTGGGGTTCCAGAGTGGGGCACCCACTCTGTCTTGGGTGCGCCCCGTGATAGGTCCTGGCTTTCTTTCTGGGTTGTTGCTGTTTGCATCCCAATTTTATTTCCCAGCTGGGCACTCTAGGGTAATCCTGCACCCCAGGTCAGGGGATGGGGATGGCGGCTCGCCCCTCCTCCGGCCGCTTGGGGAAGGGCCGCGCTTGGGGACCGCCCGGCGCCTGACTGCCCGCCTCTGCAGAGAACGGTGGGAGCCCGGACGTGCTGCAGATACTCAAGATCCACCGCAGCGATCCGCAGCTGATTGTGCAGTTGCGATTCCGCGGGCGGCAGCCCTGCGGCCGCTTTCTCCGCGACTACCGCGAGGGGGCGCTGCGGGCCGCGCTGCAGAGGGGCTTGGCGGCCGCACTGGCCCAGCACCGGGTGCCGCTGCAACTGGAGCTGCGCGCGGGCGCCGAGCAGCTGGACGCTGTGCTGACGGACGAAGAGCGCTGTTTGAATTACATCTCAGCCCAGAAGGTACGGCTGGCCTGGGGTCAGGATGGGGTAGGGCGGGGATTCCCCGCGAAGGGCCCACTGACGGCACTCCCCTTGCCCTAGCCCGACCGCCTCCGGGACGAGGAGCTGGCTGAACTGGAGGATGCGCTCCGGAACCTGACGTGCAGCTCAGGCGGCCAGGGTGGGGACGTGGAGGCTGCTGAGGGCCCCTCGCAGTCCCTGGTCCCCTCTCTCTCGGAGAAGCCGCTGCCACCGACTGGCCAGACTTTTCTGTTCCAGGGTCAGCCCATAGGTGAGGTGCCCCGGCCGCCGAGAGGCAGGCGCGCTGGGAGATCGGAGCCCGGAGGAGCGAGGGCTGGGTGGGAATGGGAGGGTGCTGGCTCTGGGGTGCCTTGCGCTCACCTGCGTCCCCACTCCCTCTGCAGAGAACCGGCCGCTGAGCCTGCAAGACCAGCAGACGTTCGCACGGTCTGTGGGCCTCAAATGGCGCAAGGTGGGACGCTCACTGCAGCGGGGCTGTCGCGCGCTGCGGGACCCGGCGCTGGACTCGCTGGCCTATGAGTACGAGCGCGACGGGCTGTACGAGCAGGCCTTCCAGCTGCTGCGGCGCTTCGTGCAGGCCGAGGGTCGCCGCGCCACGCTGCAGCGCCTGGTGGAGGCGCTCGAGGAGAATGAGCTCACCAGTGTGGCAGAGGACTTGCTGGGCCTGGCTGGTCCAGATGGCGGCCTGGCCTAGGCCAGGTGCCCAGCCAGGGTTTGGAGCACCCGGATGACACTAGGGTCCCTTCTGCTGCTATTGCTGGCCCCCTGTCCATGCACGGGACTCCGAGACCACACTTAGAACCCCACTCGTCTATCTGCTGGAGCTGTTGGGGCAAAGTTGATTGCCTTCCCCGGGAGCCAGAAAGCACCCACCAAGCCCGCTGGGGGTGCACCATTGGGGATTCTGCCCCAGATACTTTGCTGGAGACAGCGTGTGGGTGACCTGCTGGGGAGGTTAGCCTCACCATCTCCTACCCTAGGAGAGGGAATTGGGGCTGGGGCTGCACTTACCTTTTCACTCATTAAGTGCCTGGCCCTTGAGTGTCCTAGGCATCATCCTGGTGCTGCAAATGTTGTCATGAGCAAGATAAACAAATCCTGTCTGTCCCCAGCTCACACACAGTGTGAGACCCCAAATATTACGTAATGGAAATAAAACATAACCCCCTTTTTGATGTGAGGAATACCAGGAGTTGTGGGAGCACAGTGGAGATGCCTAATCCAAACTGGGGGTTGGGCTTTCCAGAGAGATGGAGTGTGTGTTTGTGGGGGTGGAGGGGTGCTGAGAGAAGGGCTGTGTTCTGGGCACAGCCAGCCTCAGGTGAGGTCTTGAGGCAGGTGAGAGAGACGGATGTTAGGGCCCAAAGTTTAGAGCAGCTGGATCTGGGGTGGGTGGACTGCCAAGAGGTCAGTTGCTGAGGCAGATAGGTGAGGGCTGGTTAAGCCATTTTACAGAATGTGGATTTTAATTTTATTCATTTATTTTTAGAGACAGGGTCTCACTCTGTCACCCAGGCTGGAGTGCAGTGGTGAATAGCTAGCTCATTGCAGTCTCCAACTACTCATCTCAAGCAATCCTCCTGCCTCAGCCCCCCAAATTGCTAGGATCATAGGTGTATACCTCCATGCCTGGTAATGATCATTATTATTATTTTATTTTTTGGAGGGATGGGATCTCCCCATGTTGCCCAGTCTCAAACTCCTGGGTTCAAGTCATCCTCCTACCTCAGCCTCCCAAAGCGCTGGGATTACAGGTGTGAGCCACTATGCCCAGCCAGAGTGTGTGGATTTCATAACATGGCCAGTGAGAGAAGCCTTTGAAGGGTTTCAGGAGTTAAGACTGGGAGGCTAGTGAGGAGGAAGGGAGGGAGGGAGAGAGAAAGAAAGAGAGAGAAAAGAGAGGCAAGATGGTGGCCCAGGCTGGGACAGTGGCAGCAGAAATGGAGGAAGGTGGCTGAACACCAAGAACTGTGGGGAGGAAGAAAAACAGATCTGGTGACGCTGATGAGCACTGGGGTGAGAGGACCCCAAGTTTTTGTCTTTGCTGGTTGGATGGAGGGTGGGAAAGCCTGCTGGGATGGGTGCCCTGGGGAAAGCTAAGTGCTTGCTCTGTTTGGGACAAGTGGGCATGATGTTCCTGTGGTACATCCAGGGAGAGAGTGTGAGGGCAGCTCGATCTATAGTTCTGAGTTCAAGAGAAGGGTCAAAGCAACGGATTCATGAATGGACAGGTGGGAGTGGGTGGGGTGGCCCCCTGGGAGAGGTCCTGAGGATGCCAAACAGAAAAGGAACAGCCCATAGAGTAAGGAGGAAAACCAGCAGATTTGGAAGCCAGGGGAATACTCACCTGCTATGAGGGAGGCTGCAGATCAGGCAAGACTGAGGAGTGTGCATTGGATTCTGTTAAAAGGAGGTTGCCAGGCAGGGGCTCTTCCTGGGGCATGGTAGAGACAGCCCAAAGCTGTACCCTAGGAGGGAGAGGGAGGTGAGGCAGTGGAGAAGGCCAGGATAGAGGACTCCTGACTAGTCTGTGGCCAGGAAAGAGTGAGACTCAGGATGGAGGGTTGGTCTTTTAACAGAGAATGTTGGTGGGGAGATGTCATCAAAAGGTGCAGACACAGCCTTTGGAAAGTGGATGATCCTGGGTAGGATTGGCACTGTTTCCAGCAGCCTGTTCTCAGAGACTCTGGTTGGGGCTGTCTACCCTGCAAGCTCCATTCATGACATGGGCCACGACCCAGAGACCCTGAGTTTGCAGAAGAGCGCTAGCAGCAGAGCTGGGCAAGGACTCAGCCCTCAATCTCAGAGCACCTCTCTGCCCACCTGGATCCCAAATCAAATCCTTAGCGAAGGCCTACTCTAGGAGCCTCTCTAAGCTGTGCCCATCCCTGCCAGCCCACTGAGGCCTGCAGTGGTACAGGCATGGTGAATTCTACCCGTGGGAAGCTCTGCTGGGGACCAGGGGACTCAGAACTACACCTAGGCTCAGGCCCATTAGCCTCTGGGCAGACAGGCTGAAGTGTTTGCCTGTGAAAAAAAAGCAGGGTGAGTCGGCCCCCTGTCCTATATTCCAGGGGATCAATGAGGGGGAAGGAAAGACAGAGGTAAGAATCCTGGACTGAATTCCGGAAGACCTGGGTGCAGTCCTTTCTGCCTGAGATCCTGGGCAAGTTACTTACCTGCTGAGGAGCAGTGTCCCCATCTGGACATGAGCAATCAGAGCTGCTGGCAGGGTTGTGAGACTAGACGAGCTGCTTTATCCGTGTACACGAGTGCTTACTGGGGGATGGGGTGGGGGCGGGGGACGGCAGAGCAAGAAGTAAGGAGGCAGCCATGTGTCCCGGGGCAGTTTATGGGCCCTGACTGGTGGAACCAGGGCTGCTGAGGAGAGGCGCCTGGAAAGACAGGAGGGGATAGTGGCCAGGTCGCTGCTGAAAACGCTGGACCCCAGGAATTTGGGACTGGTCGGCTCGGAGGCTTCTGGCAGCCCCGCACCTCCCCACTCTGGAGAGGAGGCAGGGTAGGGGCAACCAGAAGGGTTGCTGCTTCTTCCAATTCCCGGAAAGGCAGATTTGGGGAGTCTGAGCTAGCACCGAGACCAGGCCTTCCTAGCCGGAGTTGTCCGTGAGGAGAATCCCTTTCTGGGATTAGACCCACTAGGAGACCGCGCTCCCGGCGCCGGCGCGGAGGCGGAGCTGAGCTCCAGATGTCCGGGCGCGCACAGCTGGAGGGTCACGTGGCACCGCCCCGTCCCCCTTCCTGCCAACGCTGCATTTGGCCCAAGCCCCGTCCATGGCCGCCCTTGGGACCCTGCGCTGAGCCCCGGAGGCCCCGGCGTCCGGGGCTGAGACGCTCCCGAGGGCCGAGCGTGAGTCGGGAGTCCCAATGACTGACATTAAGGGGGTGGCAGGGGACAAATAAAATAGATTCGGCCTCAGAGCCGGGGGATGCGGGCGGGGTGAGGCCTAGGCTCCGCGGCCATGGGGCACCGTCCTGGGCCGGAGCTGAGGATGGGGGGAGTTGGCTACATGGGGGAAATTCTTTTCCCTTCAGGCTGCCCGTCCTGGAGGGTGCGTCAGGGCCCCGAGCAGGACGACGACAGGAGAGGGATAAACGGAGCGTAGCTGGAGACCCCGGGGGCGTGGCCTCCCACCCCTTGTCTCAGGGAGGGCTGGACTGGGAGCCACGGCCCGCCGCCTCGGGAGCCCCCGACTGTGACTGCTTCAAGGGAGGGCGGGCGCCAGCCACGCGGACATGAGGAGGAGGCTGCGCCTACGGCGGGACGCGTCGCTCACGCTGCTCCTTGGCACCGCCCTTGGCCTCCTACTCTACGCGCAGCGCGACAGCGGGGCCCCGACGACGAGCGCGCCGCAAGCGCGAGGGAGGGCGGCACCAAGGCCCACCTTGGGGCCCCGCACGTTCCAGGTACCGGACGCAGGCGCAGCACCCCCGGCCTACGAAGGGGACACGCTGGCGCCGCCCACACCCACAGGACCCTTTGACTTCGGCAGCTACTTGCGCGCCAAGGACCAGCGGCACTTTCCGCTGCTAATTAACCAGCCGCACAAGTGCCGCGGCGATGGCGGACCGGGCGGCCGGCCAGACCTGCTCATCGCTGTCAAGTCAGTGGCAGCCGACTTCGAGCGGCGCCAAGCCGTGCGCCAGACGTGGGGCGCTGAGGGTCGCGTGCAGGGGGCGCTCGTGCGCCGTGTGTTCTTGCTTGGCGTGCCCAGGGGTGCGGGCACAGACGAGACAGACACAGACACAGTGGGGGTGGGCACTCGAACACACTGGCGCGACCTGCTGCATGCTGAGAGCCGTGCATACGCAGACATCCTGCTCTGGGCCTTCGACGATACTTTTTTCAACCTAACACTCAAGGAGATCCACTTTCTGGCCTGGACCTCTGCCTTCTGCCCCGACGTGCGCTTCGTTTTCAAGGGCGACGCCGACGTGTTTGTGCACGTGGGGAACCTGCTGGAGTTCCTGGCACTGAGGGATCCGGGGCAGGACTTGCTTGCTGGTGACGTGATTGTGCAGGCGCGGCCAATCCGTGCGCGGGCTAGCAAGTACTACATCCCTGAGGGTGTGTATGGCCTGCCAGCCTATCCGGCCTACGCTGGAGGCGGTGGCTTTGTGCTTTCAGGAGCCACGCTGCGCCGCCTGGTTGGTGCCTGCGCGCAGGTTGAACTCTTCCCCATCGATGACGTCTTTCTGGGCATGTGTCTGCAGCGCCTGCGACTCACGCCTGAGTCTCACCCTGCTTTCCGCACCTTTGGCATCTCCCAACCTTCAGCTGCGCCGCATCTGCGCACCTTTGACCCCTGCTTTTACCGCGAGCTGGTTGTAGTGCATGGGCTCTCTGCCGCTGACATCTGGCTTATGTGGCGTCTGCTGCACGGGCCGCGTGGGCCAGCTTGTGCCCATCCACAGCCTGTTGCTGCAGGCCCCTTCCAGTGGGACTCCTAGCTACTCATCACAGCCCAAGCTCCTCTCACTCAGACTCAGGATGGAGTGGGAAGGAACTTGAAGGGGTTCCCAGATGGATTATTGCAGTGTATGTGGTTCTTTTCCAGACCACCTGGTGTCTGCCTTCACAAGGTCCCAGGGAGTGGAGATTGAGCTTGGTTCCTGTTGGCCCACTCTGCTGGGAGCCAGTCAGCAACAAGTGTAACGGTGACCTTTTGAAATAGCCAGGACTGAGGTGGTGGAGGACCATCTTTTGCCCAGTTGGCCCCAGGGTGGTGGACATGTTTGGTCCTCCTAGTAGCAAACAGGTGTGTGTTTGGTTGGGTGGGTGGCAGGGGCTCATGGAATCCTACCACATGTCTTGGTTTGGAACCCCTAAAATGATCCAGATACATGTATGACTCCTCAAAGGGAGGCCCCCACAGAGAGGTATGTAGGGGGTCCTGGCTGAAGCCTTTGTGGACCTGGCAGGCTTTCTGCCGCAGCTCAATCTGAAAGTAGACATTGTGCTTCCCACCTACCCCTCCAAATTAGATTCCCAGCCCTGCCCAGGTCTTTAGACCTTGCCCCTCTGAGGTCTGCTTTCCTGGAGCCAACCTCTCCTAGGCCCAGGAGGATGGAACCACAAACAGGGACACCCTCACAACTATGCCAATCTCATACCGGAGGCTGGACCATCCTCTTCAGAGGAGCCAAGGAACGCCTTCCATGAAGACCTCCCCCACTATAATTTCCTTATCTTTTTCAACAAACCCCTTCCTCAAAAAAACCAACGCTTATTTTAGTACAAATATCCCAGCAACAGCACATTGGGGGGCCATTGCTGAGAGCACAGGTGCTTTATTGGAGAGGGGATGTGGGCAATAAGGACGGTTTCCCCATTGCAGGAGGTTGGGAACAGTCCTGGCTGCCCCCGACAGTAGGATGTGCAGGGGTCTCTGGCCAGGCCACAGTCCACATGGGAAGACATCAGACAGTCAGAAAGTCATGGGAGCGCCACACAAGCCTGGGCTGTAGGCCCAGGAGCCATAAAGGAGCCTGCGGCAGGTCCCCTGCACATTCATCATTAAACTATACAGGATGAGGCTGTACATGAGTTAATTACAAAAGAGTCGTATTTACAAAAGTCTGTACACACATTTGAAAAACTCACAAAATTGTCATCTATATATCACAAGTTGCTAGACCAAAATATTAAAAATGGGATAAAATTATACATTTTTCTTCTCAATTCTTTTCAAAAGGATTAATATTTTTTAAAGCATATATATGCCACTTTCCATTAGCATGACCCATGAAGAGACTGAGCAGCCCAGCCTTCCTTGAGCCCCCAGAGGCTTTGAGCCATGAATAGGCCCAGCCAGGGGACAGTGCCCAGGGTTGGGGCAGGGAGCAGCCACAGTGCAGAACAGAATGCTGAAACACAACAAAAGAAGGAAGATGTCTTTGGCTAAAACTTTGGCATTAAATAAAAGAGGCAAACAGGATGGAAACATGCAGCCAGGTTGAGGCAGAACAGGGGCACAGGTGACCTTGAAAGCTGGCTTGAAGAGGGGTGGGAAACAGGCCTGGGCAAGTACCTGGATGGTAGAAAGCTGTGTTTCAACCAGTTGGCTGTGCCTACTGGGCCTGGCAGGGAGCACATGCAAGAAAGAACAGGAAAGGGCCACCTTGGCCACAGCCAGCTCATCAAGTAACTAAAGTGGATGTAGTGCAAATGTCACAACCAAGTACTACAGACACACTACCTGCTTGCCTTAAGGGTCACATGGCAATGTGGGGCCAAAGGCAGGACCTTGTCCTCATCCTGGGTACCTGTGTCCTCAGCCACAAGACAGCCCCAAGTTTTCCCAATGTATGTGGGACAGAGGTTGACACGTCCTGCCTCTTTACATGTTAGTCAAGAGCTCCTGGGTCCAGGTATCAAGGCTCAAAGTTTGTGCTTCTCTTTGCAGTCTGTGTCCCCTGCTGGCACCAGCAGGCTGAGGATGGACAGAGGAATATCTGGGCCCCTTATACCATGGCAGAGCACCCAGCCTGAGCCCCACCTTAGAACATCACAACAGCCCTTCAACACTGGCAAGGTGTCCAAGAAAACCCACAGGCTGGCACACAGAGGCCTGCTGAGCAAGATGCAATGTACAGTTCCACGGGGTAGAGGGACATGGGTGGTGATGTCCCTAGGGGAGCTCCGCTGTTCGCAGGTGGGCACCAGGCCTGGGGGGGCCATACAGGGTCACTGAGGCAATGTGGTTGTTCTGCATGACCTGGTGTGAGAAGAGGACAGTGGGGAAGGATAGAAGGGATATAGGCAGACCCTGTGCACGGGGTCTGGAGGTCATGCGTGCAACAAACCTGCACATAAGGGTTAGGCTTCCTGACCCCTCTACCTCCCCAACTCACACTAGGAGCCACCTCTGCTTGAGGACCTGTTTCTCAGGGGATAGGTACAGCCTTTACCACACCTTTCTGTCCAGTCCTCCTGGAACTGTTAAGTGCCTGCTGAAGGTATGGCATCCAGAGGGAAAATAGGGGCAAACCTGTTTTCCTCCCAATCAGGGGGGGCCTCCAGAGCCACTTGCCCACAGTACACCCATCCACATGGCACTCATAGGCTCCCAACACCATGGGCTGGGCCTGACTTGCCCTGTGGCTCTCTTCCCTGATTAACCCATATTTCTAGATATAAACTTCAGATCCTTCTTACCTCTCATCTTGCTGAATATAGACCATTGCTTCGGCCTCCATGACCTGAGATTTCCCCAGCATCATTCCTAAACCCTCACTGGTAAGTATGGGCGGGCCACGCACTCAGCAGCCAGGGTTGTTGGGGAAGAATTAATCTGACCAGCATGGCAGTCAGACACTTCCCAATTTCTATGAATCACTTGCTTGTCCCTGCCATGTCTACCACCCCCTCAGCAGCTTACTTCCAGAACCTCCAGGGCTTACCTCAAAGATCATCCGCTGAAGACCAAAGCAGAATGTGGAGCCAAATGGGTTGGTGTTATTTGGGGAGGAGGACCTGGGGCCACAGAATTGAGAATTAGAGGATCAGACAGAGGCCAAGGCCAAGTAAGACATCTGGTTCCTTTTAGAATGTGGGCTATATGGCTGCATGTGTCTGTCTCCCACATAGGCCCTCCAGGTCCCAGGGGTAGGGATGGCCTCACTTAACTCAGAATCCTACACAGCCCAAAAAGACACAGAAAGTTATGGTGGAGCTGGACTGGGGTGGTGAGTAGTCAGGAGGGCCTTTAAGTAAGAGAGAGCCTCAGGCAGGATGGCAACCAGGAATGGGGCTATGGACTATAGCAGGTAGTGGTTTTATATATATATATATATATAATCAATCAATCAATGACAAAGTCTCACTCTGCTACCCGGGCTAGAATGCTCGCGCTCTCTCTCTCTCTCTCTAAACCTCAGACTCCTGGGCTCAAGCCATCCTTCTGCCTCAGCCTCCCGAGTAGCTGGGACTACAGGCGTGTGCCACCATATCAGACTAATTTTTTTTCTCTATATATTTTTAGTTGGTCAATTTCTTTCTATTTTTAGTAGAGATGGGGTCTCCCTCTTGCTCAGGCTGGGTCTTGAACTACTGACCTCGAGCAATCTGCCCGCCTTGGCCTGCCAGAGTGCTAGGATTACAGGTGTGAGCCACCGCGCCTGGCCTATAACAGGTAGTGGTTTTGATGGGGAAAAACAACCCAGAACAGCCAGATGAGACTACCTCCCTTTCTGAATAACTAAGGGTGAGAAGGCCCCCATACCTGGAGGTAGGGTGGGGAGAAGGGAGCTATCCCCAGGGGCAACCTCTCTAACACAGGTAACATGCCAAACAGTTGGCCCAGTCCTAGCATGCAGGAAGCATGCTTGTGGTAACACCAGACTCTTCTGTAATTTCTAAGCAATATCTACTGCACCAAGCTTCCCTGGCCCTCTGGGCTATGAGGAGCAGGGTGGGGTGGCCAGAGATCACAACCTCTCACTCACCTATGCAGAACAACGGGCTTCTCCACAGGGTGGCCCAGGAGCTCTTGGATGTTGTCCCACTGCAAGAGGGACAGGGAGCAGCAGGAGTTAGCAGGGACCTGAACATAGGTGTCACCAATGGTTGGCCCAGAGGACATGGCTCCAGATTGCTGGCAGGCTCATGTCCACCTCATTCTCAGACTGCATCAGGTAGGAAAATAGGAGCTCACCTTGCTGTAAGTCGTGCATGTTTCTGTCTGACCATCTGTGGTTTCTGAAAAGAGAACACAAGGGGCAGGTTGCTAGCTGGTCCAGCCCACCTGTGGTCCCCGCCCTCAGCAGGATCCAGAGCTGGCCACCCTTTGCACTGGGGTTGGAGTATGTAGGGAGAATAGACAGGCTGTTTTGGAGTTCCAGGGTGGAGGGGATGGGGCAGAAAGGTGAGAGGCGGCCAGTCAGGTCTGAGTTATACCAACTAGCAGTGGGCAGCAAGCACCAAGGATGGGCTGGGGGCACATGGATGATCATCTGTATATAGGAAACACTCCCCTTCAGAGGCAATAATCCTATGGTCATAGGAAAAAGTCTGAGAGCCTCCAGAACAAGGAGCCCACCCCAGAGGAGCTGACGCTGTGGCAGAGGCTCCAGACACCTAACCAATACTCCCCTCTCTGCTTGGATCTTTCTCCCTTCTCATAATGGGTAATTGACTCCAAAACTCCTTCCTTACCCTAAGGGCATTTACTACTCACCTTTCTTTATAGCTAGTGGGATCTTGAACTCACAGCGATGGTAACTAGAGAGAAGGCAGAAGGGTAAATGCTGGGCCTCCTGGAAGGCCTGACCACTCCCACATCCCAACCCTGCTCTCTAGGAAAAACAGAACCAAACACACCTGTCCGAACTCTTGGTTCTGAGCCCCTGACACAGCATTCACTGGGGGAGGCCAGATTTAGGCAATGAAGTTGAACAGAAAAGTGCATGGCCATGGGCTCTTAAGAGCCTACCACCTTGGATAAAGACATTAAGCTTTCTGAAGTGATTTTCCTATTTGTAAAATGGGTTCAAATGGAGAGATGTAAATAAAGCATTGGACATTGTGCAAGGAACACAGCAAGCACTCAGTAAATGTTCACTTCCCATGAAACAGCAAGAATTCAATTGTAGATAAATTAGTGAACACCCAAAGATACAAGCTTTCGTTTTTCAGCTCAAAGTTCACTTCACAGAGAGGCAGATACAGGTGTACTCACATGTTGAAATTATAATGACCAGGGTAATTGGTGTGTAAGACAAACTTCTTCACTTTGTGTGTATTTGCGTCAAAGAGGATGTCCTGGGATAGAAAACAAGGGTATTCAAGTAGGGAATGTTACTGAGGAAGAACAGGGGTCTTCCCAAGGCCATGTCCAACTCGGAGACACCCACTCCACAATGGGGATACCTGCAGGCATCAGCTTTCTCCCAAACAACAGTCAAGGAGACAGCTAAGGCCAAGCAGCTTTAACAGGGCATTTTCAGTGAGGGGGGGACCCACCAACTATCTGTAGACTTGGTAGGCACAGGGGGTACAGCTACCACTGCTTGGGAGCTAAAACACATAAGGGAGATCTTTCCTGCCAATGGAACCTGATAAAAAAATCTAACTGAGAGCAGATTTTGGCTGAAAGGCTACTAAGAACATTCAGAGGACACCTGACTCTTGAGGGGCTCAAGGCATTCTGAATGCCATGATCCTACAGAGCCTCTTGGCTTACATTACAACCTTTGCATGAGTTAGCAACCCCTTGAACTGAAGTTCCAGCCTAATCTCTCTACAGGACTTGGATGTAGATTTGATGCCACCTATCAAACACTTCCTCCTACTTCCCACACCCTTTCCAGTTTCATATCATACCAGCTATTCAAGTCTGCAACCCCAGGGTTACCTCTGACTCTACCTCTGTACCAAGAGCCAACAAAGTCCTATTAGGCTGGTCCATTTTCTCCATCTTCCCTGCCACCTATGATCACTAGCTCTTGAATTCAGAGGTCCAGCTGCAATGGGACTATTCTCTCTTTCTGCCATCCTACCCTCAGGAGTTTATGGTCCTATAGCAGATCCTCCACTGACCCTGGCTCATGTTTGGTCTTTCCCACATAGGCAGACTCAGTCTCTCCTTTCTCCTTCTCTTGAATCTACCCTTTGCTGCCTCAGGACCTCAGATCCTAGAAGGCTCAAAGGTTAGAAAACCCATGG